ATGTGATGATTGTTATTAAAGATGAGTTTCGAAGAAATGTCCCAACATGTATCTACGGGCAATTATGCCCTAAACTTTTTTTTTTCTTTCGTCTAAATTGTGTGAGGTATCGCATTTAAATTAACACTACAGAGAGTACACTACACTCTAAGAAAAAATGGAGGAAAAAAGTAGCAACGGCGCGTCTTCCCCCCTTCTACTGACGCGCCCCCGAGCGGAAACGAGAAACAGGGAGGAACGAAACGTCTTTCTCCTTCTCCAGGCAGACGGGAGAAAGCTTTCGCCCTCCCGACTCATCTTCTTTCGGTTTCGTTTTTCGAGCAGGTCGCGCACGTTGTTTAATAAATAGCTGTTGAGTTGATTGAGCTTCAGCGGCAGCAAAGGCCGCCTGTAATTCCGTCTTCTAGTCTAAACGTGCAGAACATTTCGGTTGCGTTGACGTTTTTATCACTAATTTTATCAAACGAGCAAACGAAGCCGCTAGAAACAGCCAAGTTCCGGAGCAGTGCCAGCAGCGCTACATACACTGGGTAAGACGGCCGTCTCCGATTTTAGGGACACACGCGGACCTACAGCAGTGAAACCACGAGGAACTGTGTCGACGTTTTTGACGTTATGGAAATCTCAGGAACTGCGTCCAAGACAGGCAGGTTTTGCTGCCGGCAGCCTGGGTGCCTTCCGTCCTGAGTTCGGTTCTGTTTTCCGATGCCGAGGGAGGAAAATGAGAAAGAGGCGGAGGCGTCAAGGGAGCATGGGTTGTGGAGCCTACGCGAAATACTTTCTACGCGGCTGACGTCATGCCCTCTCCTACCCTTCTATTCTCCATGGTGTGCAAGGTGCCAAACCAAAACATTTGTGAATGGATAGTAATAGTTTTGTACTTTGTGACCGACGGTAGCTTGCGCCACCTAACCACTGCGCCAAACGGTCATGTTGTTATCGCGTTTTTGACGACAAACGCGCTGTCAGTGAGCGCGACGAGCACTAAAATAACAATATTTGCAGGAAAAACGCGAAAAAGCCCAAAAAACGCGACAAGCGACTGGAAAAATTTACCAGCGACTTAGTGAAAAAAGAAGCCCAAATCCGCTTATAATAAGCGGAACTGGTCACCCTGGATGCGACACACCCAACCCACCGTCGTGATTGCGCCCACCACATCCGAAGGCGCAGCACGTTTTCATTTCCCCTGGTAACACTGCCCCTTGGACAGCGCTTGATCAAAGCCGACCTCTAAACCATACAAGACAAAAGCAAAACGTTCTTTTCTCTCTCTTTTTTTTTTTTAATTAGCAATTACGCGAAGGACTTACGGCTACAGCCACAGCTGCTACAGCAAGTCCGCCATTGCCGTCGCCGAAATGTTTACATCCGCGATCCCCCCCCCCCGAGGAGGCGGAGCTTAGTACAACCTCCTCTCCCACCTTCACACCTCCTTTTTATGCGCTGAAGACCGAAACGTGCCTACTTGCAAGGCGCCATTGAAGACACAAAATACAAAACGCTTATCGAAGAACATATTCCAACCCCCGCGTCTTCAGGCATTGCTTGCATAGCCGACGATCTCATGCCTGATGTTACGTCACGCGTAACGGCAGGATGTCAGCCATTGACACTCGCGAAATTCGGGGTGCAGTTTCTTATAGCGAGTTCGTTTCACGGCACTCGTGCCCACGCGTGCCCACTCGCAGCGTGGAACGGGTTCGTTTCGGCCGGCACTCCACGAGTGGTTGCACTCTCCGAGTTCGTTTCAGCGCTCACACCACTGACACCCCACGCGTGCATGCACTCGCTGCACCGAGAAAATCGGGAGTGCGCCAGTGTTGCCAGACGGAGAAAAAAAAAAGTCAGCAGATTGATCCCCAAAAAGTCAATAGATTTGCACAAAAATCAGTAGATTCTACGAAATCTGCGTTTTGCCATGTTTTGCTATTTCCATTAAACCATACTTCATAGAAATAGTATGGAGTAACAAATAACATGGTAATAAACATAAATAAAAATGAAAAAAAGACCAGTTCTCGAGTAATTCGTTATGAAGGACAAAATAAAATGGCACCGCAAATGTTTATTTTTTTTTTATTAGCATTGATTAGTTTTGCGATTTCGAGGATTATTCTTTGAAATCGAGACTGAGTCACTTTTGGGATTAACAGATGAGGGCAACAGTGCGACATCCACCTGTCGCTAATATTGAAACGAAACCAAAACAAGACGTTCCGGCAAGTGAGTCCGTACATGTCCGATGGAAGTCCTCTGCAAGCTGCCATTTTTCCTTTCCAGGGCTGTGGAAGGTTTTTGACTCAACGCTGTCGGCGCGGAGCACTGTTGAGGGTACGCATTGTCTGCTACGGGCACATTTCTTTTTCGCCTGTCTCAAAGTTTGCGTTCAAACGTGGAGATACTTAATTCGTTAGGTTTTTAAGCCACCGAGGAATAACATTATATAATTTTCTTGCCAGAGCCTGCCAATAAAAGGAAAGAACCGAAATTTGGATGTCGATCCGTTGCATTCCGCCGGGCGAATGAATGAAAATGGCAGCCCTCTCCGTTCAGCTGGGAGCAGCCGAGAGTTCACGCGCATGCGCTCACACCTCTCGTTCTGCGCCGCAGGCTGATTGGCTCACTCGGGAGAGAGACGTTACGGCGGCGAGATCATCGACTGGCCAAACTCTCCCCCTATATGTCTCTGGCCCGGATGCCACCGTCGAACCTGCTCTGGGTGAATAGTTAGATGAATATACGGCTAAGTCACTCGCATAGGACGGGCTTCTGGGCCATCTAGCCAGTGCTTCATTTTTAATTCTGGGAGAATATGAGTTTCCTTTGATGGGCGACCCTGGGAACTGAAGGGGCCAAAAAATAAATTTTAATATTTTTACTAAAAAAAATGTCAGTAGATTTTCGTTTTTTTCAGTGAATCAGTAGACCCGGAACGAAATCAGTAGATCTACTGATAAATCAGTAGACCTGGCAACACTGGAGTGCGCCAAAATGCAATCCCGTCATGCCTCGCTCCGGCAGGGCCGGCGAGGAGCGGGAGCAGACGACGAGGGTTCGTCTGCTACGATGTGTCGCGGAACCGAACGGGAAAAAAAGTAGATTTTCTGATAAAAATCGGGTCCCGCGGGCCACGAAATCAAACGCGAGCTTGAATTGTGAGCGTCTGCTATTTCCCGAAGAAAGCAATTGACAACCCGTGATTTATTTGCAGGTTTTAAATCGCTCTGTTGCCGTACAAACGCTGAAATATACCAGTGTGTAAAGAAATGCTCAAAACAAACGTAACAGCGGCCCCCGAGATGTCTATCACCATCCGTGTGCGGGTGAAAAATTTAACATTTGTCGACAAAACTCCCCCAGCAGAAACCTCTGACTACCCAATAAGCATCAGAGAAAGCTAAAGATGGTAACTTTACCCGAGGATTGGGCAACATCATCATGCTTAACATTTACCTACGTCAGATAACTTGCCCCGTCGTATTTTGTTCGAGAAAGCTCTCGTTCTCGACGCCCTCACCAAGGCTAATATCTGATCCACCTATAATGACGATCCAAATCGAAAGTCCCAGTTTTGCTGGATATTCCAACAGGCTAGTTTTAAGCCGTACCCTTTCAGTGGTTCACGCATAATACCATGCTCAAACGGATCAAGCTTCTGCTCGGACAGCATCATCAGTTTTCTTCAGTGTAAACGGTTATAAGAATAACCAGCTGCTTTGTAGACAGCTGGTTGCGGAAATTTACGCCGTCTGTAACTACCTCTACGGCAGCCGAGCTGCTTGAAGTCATCGCAACTATAAACTACAGGTTGCAGCGACCAACGTTCGTAGATAAACGTTGGTAGCGACTGCATTCTCGCATTCCCACGCATCACTCCGAACAGAAAGGCGCTAGTTTCGGTTTGAAGTCGGTACCTTTTCTACAACATAGATGGCGGCAGCGTCAGTCTTCTGCACTCGGTGCATTTGGCGAGTTCGTTTGAGTCCAGTTTTCCGTGCAAGACACTGGCGAAATTAGGGGTGCAGTTTCTTACACACGCTCATGACTAGTTTAATTAATATCCGGACATTATATATCAAAATAAAGATGACGTTTGTCTATATGAAGGCGCCCTCGACGTAACGAGCGCAAAAACTTAAAGGGGGCCCTGCAATCATATTTAAGCGTCTACCTTTCTTCTTTCCAGTCATCTAGCTGTGTTAAGAGATTTGTGTTTGTCCTTTATCCTTCTCCAAGGATTATTTTCGTCATCAGATACTAAGCTAATAAGAACAAAGTTTTTTTTTATTTTTTTTTTATTAATTAACACACACAATCAGACATTTTAGACTTCACCAGGTGATGTGTTTATTCTTCGCCGTTTCACAGGGGCCTCTTGGTGATAACCAGTGGGCTTCCAGGACCGCTGGACACAAGTATGGACTCCAGCAGGCGACGTAGACCAGCAACTGTCACTTCAAGATGGCGCAGCGCCTCTTCCACCGGTGCCACCTTTGCCTCGATTGCTGACAGCCGAACCGAGATCATATCGTCACGCATACCGAGCGACGAGCCAACGAGGACAGGAGGTGCAGGGCCCACCTCAGCGTATCCAAGATACATCCTCCGCCTCGAAATCACAATGGACTTCAAAGTCGTCAGAGTCAGACATTGAGCTTCGGTTGCAGAGAACAGATAACCCCTACCGCCTTTTAATTTCAGGTCTTTCGGGACTTGAACCCCAAGAGCACGTACCACCCCGCTGAGAGGTAAACAAACCTAATCAAAAACCGCGGTTCCGCGATTTCGCCGTTACCTCGATGGCCATTTGGCTGTAATAACTCTTCAGGACGGACGTCCGGAAGAGTTACTGCAGCCAAAGAAAACTGCTAAATTATAAATTTAATAAAGACAAATTATTGCTATACAATATTTATAAAAGGTTATTTACAAAGCTATTTTAGTACGAATTATTTAATCCAGCTAATTTACTAGGGGAAGTGGGGGAAGGACGGAGCGCAGTAAACAACACGTTTCTTGACGACTTGACGAACTTGACGACGAGAAGCACATGGGTGCTTCAAAACGGCATCTTGACGGCGTGATTATCGGGACGGATGTTTAACTCTGCTTCAGAATGGCTTCTAAGGCAGATCTGAAGGAACTGTAAGTCCTCTGGTACTTTCTTTCTCAACTAAAGAAAAAATGTTCCTTGTAAACATCCGGTCGACGTGATTACACGCTTTGCAAAACACGACGCTTGACGATACTTTATTCTGTAAACGAGGGGTTCCTAATCTTTCTGGTCTTGAGAAACGCCTATCTCTTGAGTGACGGCCGAGGAACCGCTCTCGAACTCGGCATTTATGCGCCGACTTAGTGCAGAAGCGTACAGAGCTTGTAAACAGTAATACACATACTTTTTGAATGGTATGACTCGTGCGTCAAAAGATGACTAAAATCTTCTAAAATCATGCTTAGGTAGTAGGGACACTTTGCTTGGGAGCAGGGGTGGCCGATTAAATGCTTGGGAAACGCTGGAGGGTGTTCTGGGAAACTCCTGGGTTTCTAGAAAATCGGTTCGACAACTCGTGCTATAAACAGTACGCGCAGCAAGTATTCGGGGTCGCAGTATAAGGTAGTTTTCATTACAGTGTGAGACAGTTCAACTGCATGAACTTCTACATCCTCTAGGTTTACAAGTTTACATTTTTCCTAACTCCAATCTTCTCCCTTTTTGAATGGCCATTGGAGCTAATGACATTTCTCTTCATTTCCAGGTTCAAAGTTCAGGCGAAATACGATGCCTTTTACACCGGCGGACACGTAGAGGTCAGTGGAGTCCCCTTTCTTTGCGATGTTCGCAATTGCACACAAAGTGTTTCACCTGCCAGTAGTTCCCCAGTTCCCCGGTTCCAAATGCAACTGGCAGTTTTCCCCTCGAGTATTAAAAAGCCCGTTGTAAAAGTCCCGGTCTCACCTTCCCCAAGCAACGAAATCCCCGTGCCCAACTACTGTAGCCTGCCTCCCTTCCAGCATTGTTTTTTTGATCAAACGCTCTGTTTTCTTGCGGTGATTCTGGATCAGTTTGATCTTTTCAAACATTGCAATATTGTTTGACGCTTATGTACAGATAGGGATTGATAAACTATTCGCAAAACTATCTACACTACTATGATCCCACAAAAGTGCTTCATGAATGTGTAAATATTAAGATTAGCTTTCCAGGGGGCGTTACCAATGTCTTTCATCATAACGGTCAGAAATATCGGCTGATTAACTTTTAAGTTTTATAACCACAAATTTTGATCATGTTGCGAAATGTATTCACCACTGCTAAGTATATTTAACAAATACTTCTTTGTATTTCGTGGCAAAATGTCCTCGCTCGGGCAGCAGAAGTTCTGTGTCGATAACTGTGACCCCAAGGTCTGAACAATGAATAGAAAGACAGTGCAGGTGTCTGGGCTTGACCTGAAACAGTCGTGCAGTAATAAAGAGGCTTGAAGCTATTGTCCCTGACGGGATAAAAACTGCAGGGAGGAGTTTCAGTTGTCTACGCACATCCAAAGCACGGCGAAAAGGAATGAGTGCATGGTGGAGGCCGGGCGTTCGAAAGAGATGCTCTGCTGTTTTCACCTTGTCAGTGGGGAATTGGTAAGAGGGTAGGCGTACAGGGCTTTTGGGAACCGAGGATTATGAGGTAGGAGTGTTTAAATTAACTTATTTGGTGCACCATGCCTCAACAACTAATGTTACTCCTGCTTCCTAATGTTTGTCGAGGAAAATGCCAGCGCTTTTGTATGTGTGATCTCTAATCTCGAAGAAAACACGTTTTTGCATGGTAGTAAATTGGCTGCGGGATAGAGGCGCTGTCACGCTTAACTTTCGAATACGTTGCTTTTAGTGGCCAGGAAAGGGCGACCATCTTTACTGTCAGCATGGCACCAGTGTCAAGGTTCTTAACGTCGAAGACGGCAAAGTGGACAAATGCTTTGACTTGGTAAGTGACCGCAAAGCCAGCCTTCCTTCACTCTTGGTGTGACGCTTCCTGCTCCTTGGCGACTCTTTTCTCGAGTAGTAATGCAGATCAGATTAAAAATCTTGGGGAAGCAAGTATGTTTTTTGTGTATACAGGGTATGCTCTTTTATCGAAAACAAATTTTTCTAATAAGAAGCCGTGAAAGCTAGACAAATGCAGTCTGTGCAAGGGAGTTACACAGCCAGGTGGACGTATATGTTCAAGAGAGAGTGGAACTAAGAGATAACTAATTAACGCTAGCCCAGTTTTTTAAAACAACTTACTGTAAAATACTGGGCAAGCGCCCACTCAAAATTTAGAGATAATCGCGAAAAAATGGGGGATGGGCGCTTGTCCAGTCATCAATTTTACATACCCATGTACTGTGCATATATTCTCAGACCTTACAAATTTGGGTATGGGCGGATGCACGGTATTCTACGGTAATTAAGATCGGTCCAGTTTTTAAATATCCTGGATTGGGCATGCAGTTAGAGTTAATCATTGTCAAGTTTTTGCCTTGTAATCTGTCAATACTGAAACGAAATGCGCGATGCCCGCCGGCAGGACAACCCTTGTTTGATGCTGGAGGGTCACATGTTAATGACGAAATTTGTGTCACAGCGCGCCGGAGCTGATTGCAGCCGGTGCTCCGTGGCTGTCAAGCTAAAGCGATAAACAACATTGTCGACCCTGTCAAGTTGCTTTGCTTGTTTTGGCTGCTAAGGTGTCTTATCGCTTTAGCTTGCCACAGCCATGAAGCACTGACTGCAATTAGCTCCTGCGCACTGTGGCTCTCCAGCATCAAATGAGGGTTGTCCTTCCGGCGGGCATTGTGCATGTGGTTTCGGTACGGACAGATTTCCAGATCAAAATTTTACAATAAATAATTCCAACTATGTGCTTGATACAGAATCTTTAAAAAACTGGGCTGGGCTTAAACATTTATTGCCTCCATTTCTATAATATAAACACGCACCCTAAAATGTCTAATTAGAAATTTAATTAGGGATTTTTCATTAATTAGTCCTTTTTTAGTTGCATTTTCTTTTGAACATAATGTCCGCCTGGCCGTATAACTCACTTGCACAGACCACATTTGTGTAACTTTCACAACTTTTTTTAAATTTTTTTTATCTGTGTTCAACAACAACAACAAAAAAAAACAACAATAAAACAACACCCTGTATGTGTTGAGGACAAGTTAAGTTGGATACAATATTCGCGACTCCAACGAACTATACACGTTTGCAAGTCCGGTCTCAGGGCGCCGCCATCTTCCTCAGTGGGGTGCGCTCTTGGGCGCTGCCATAATCCGATTACGACGCCTTAGCAAGGCTTCGTAATCGGATTATGACTCGTCCAAGCGCAACCCAGCCAAGCAAGATGGCAGCGCCCTGAAGCCGGACTTGCAAACGTGTATAGGTGGTGCCACTCGTTATCCAAAGTGGCGGTTATAGTGGGGGTCGGAGATGTGTGCCGCTGCTGAGCCTGTCTAGTGTGCTGGCTTCACTGAGCAACTCAAATATTTTCTGGTAATACGAGGAAACTAGGGTGTTATGAGTGCAGGTCACCTCATTATCCTAAAAACAGAAACGGTGTTTAGCGTAATATTTACGCCAGGAGGCACATTTTAATTCTGGAGCGAATTTAAGACTAACATCTACTTTGGATTTAATTTCTTGGTGTAGGTCTTAAATTCGGATTCTTCCATACCTCAAGATGTGTCTCACCTCCTGATTATTTAGAAGTTGTTCGCAGAGACTTTATTTTGTGACATACATGTTCGATTCAGGCAATTAAAAATATTTTGGAGATTTCAGTGTTCCTTTAAAGAGAGGGTCTTTCACACACCTTCGAGGTAACATAGAATATTGTAGTTGTTGAAAAAATCAGTGCTGATATTTCTGCGTTCTCGCAAATAATGAACTGCGGGCCTTTTAATGGGTTTTGGGTATTTAGATGATTAATTGCTTTCACAATATTTTTAGCACAAGAATAACAGAATAAATTAAATTCTTACAGTATGTCCACAAAACATATGAATTAATAGAGGCTGTTCTCACTACAACAACCCAAAGACGGAATCTGAGTCAGACGGCTGAATTGTGTTTTTTTTTTAAAGAAACACGTGACTCATAGGACTTTATATTGAATCTAGTGTTTGACTGTTTTTTTGTCTACCTTGATAACGATGTCAGAGTTTCTCATATGCTAAAAAGAAAAACAAAAAATTATACCTTTCTGGACAGACCATTATGGTTAAATGGCATATTTTTATGATTGTGGCATTAATTGGGGCATACATTTGTATTTGTATTGATAATAATAATATTAGAATTCAGATATTTTAATATGCAATTTTTCGAACTCTAATATAATTTGTTGCTTATGATCTAATTTCAAACGCGCAAACAAGTTTGACAATGAAAAGTGTGCTAATTATCATCACTGGTGCCAAATGCAGCATTTTTAATTGCCAAGTTATAAAATAAAAATAGTCTAAAATCAATGAAGACATTTTTGCTAATGTGAGAAATTCATGTAAAATTACATTAATTGTGGATAAAACGTATCTTGCTATCAAAGTCACGACTTTTGACAATCGGCAAGAGTTAAAAAGTTGCCGCCAAAATCCTTCCAAAACAAAAACCTTAAAATAAAAAAAATAAAAATAATTTTTTTTTTTTTAATTATTAGTTTTTTTACAGCAGTTAGTTACTTTCGTTTTTATGCGCCGTCATTTTGCCAATCTTAGCCTTTCCAGTTTGAAGGAACGCCTACCTGCTTGCACGTCTGCTCACTGTAGCATGTTGCATTGGCGTTGGAAGCTGGTAAAACAGTTATGAGTTTTAGTATGGCATATACGAGCGAACACAAGCACTGTGTGTTTGCCTGAGCCCAAGATAGAGGTCTTGGATTGGCGCATGGCGGTGAGGCGCACGCACAGCGTGGGGCATGCAACTCAAATGCAAATGCACAGTGCTTTTGTTTGCTTCTACATGCGATACTAAAAGTCTCTAGTAAGATACAATCCCATATCGGCTGCAGCACTACATTGGGACAGTGAAGAGTGTTGTTTGCATACGGAAATGACATTCGCGAACCATGATCGCGCGCAGTTCTGTCGTGCCCGCTGGGCTGGAGAATCGGGGGACCCTCACCAGAGCACTTCTTGTTTCCGCCGCGGAAGGGCGAGCAACGAGCTGGAGGCGCGAATACACCTGCATTATAAACCCCCCTCCCCCCCCTTCCCTCCCTCTCTCTCCCAAAATAATTTTTGGGTGTGCCACTGGGTGGAGATAGACTTTTTAGTGTTTATTTTGGCAGCATTCAATGTCACGAAATTGGCTCTTATTTGCTTGAGGTTAAATTGTCAATACTTTATAGAATATAAAATTAAAAAAAAAGACTTGTCTAAAAAAAAATAACAATGAACAATATAAAAAAAATGTTGTTATGCTAAAAAAATTAAGAACTCTCAGCTTAGTCTGATTGCTTCAGACTTTAATATTCTCATTGTCTATCTTGGGAACTTGATATCTTTACAATGAATCAGTACTTACATTCAAACTACCAATTCTAGGCATTTATGTGTACCTAATATAATTTGTTCATTACTGAGAATATGCACTCATAACCATATGCAGTTTCAAACATTAAAGTGAATAGCTGTGCAGAGAAACAGAGCTATTGCTTTACATGTAAAAAGAATTCAAGATTGCTGGAAGTTCAGGTCTTTATCGTTCAGAGATACAACCATATCCTGGTACTGACAGACAAATTAATTAGTTCCCTTATACATAATGACAAATACACAGCGCAAAAGGACAAAAAGGGAAGAGACACACCGGATAGAACAGAGCGCTGTTCTATCCGGGGAACTAATTATTATTATAATTAGTTCCCCTTGAAGACCCAAAGGCATAAAATCAAGTAATCACTAGGTCGTTCCATTGAATTTGAGTATTTGAAATGAAACTTCAATCTGGTATTGAACCCCAGTATTCAATCAAAGAAGCCGCCTCCTTCCCCAATCTCCCTTTCTCTTCCCAATTTTCATTTTGCTGGAATTAGCTCCCGAACTCGCTGAATTTAGATGAGAAAAAAGGCAAAGTGCCAGAATGAAACTGCCAAATGCGATTGGTTTTCAGCTGGGCAAGGAACACTTTTTCATGTTAGATTTTAAGTTGCTGCTGAAACGTAAGGTAGTGCACTTTCCTACTGTTAGCTTTCAGACGTGACAATATTGCATCTTTGCCCGCTTCTGCAAAAAGATTCAAATGTAATATGAGCAACCTAAATGGAATTCCAGGCAGGATCCTCAGGCTTCAAGAGGTTCTGCAAAGGAATTTCTATTTTTGGTTTGCGAATCTTTCTCTCGGTCTATCAGTACTTGTGATTAACTGATTGTAAATGGCAACCTTTGTATTTTTGCACAACGAATCATTTCAAGGTCTTGAAAAGCATGTGGACGTGAGCCAATATTCTCGATGACAAACCTGAATTCTAAATTTCGTAACTTCCAGGTAATTTGAATGCAACTTAGAAAGTGGCTGCTGCAGTAATTTCTTTTGCTTCAAACATACGCCAGTTTTAGAAGCAGAAGATACCAGTTTTCTGCTCACGACAAATATGAAAATTAATTTTTTATTGTGCCTTTAAGTTAAGTATCCGTGAGTAGTTCTTCAAGCAAAGTGATTTTATGCTACTTTATTGTGTCCACTGGTATTTATGTAGTGAACGGTCAGTCTACAACCACGCATGAGCCGAGGCAGTGTCTGCACGGCCTCTATGCATCGATAGTAGATCTAATGAGGCCCTTCTCGCAAAATTAATTTTCCGCTACTGATATACAGCAAACATATTATGAACAGTGAAACAGAGCATAAACTATGCTGTTCGCTGGTGTGGGTGGCTGATCAACTATAAACAGGTCTTGTGCACATATAGTTTTTCAACTTTAAAGCTAGGACCTCTTATTTCTGTCAGCTAGAACATGGATGTGCATTTTATTGCATTCCGGGCACAGCTAATCTTGTAATCATTATGTGATTACAAAGTATATATTGCATATTAGGGAGAAGAGGAGGAGGTGACAGCATTTGCGGTGAGCCCAGATGAGGGAAGCTTGGCCGTGAGCGGCCGCAACGGGCTGCTCAGGCAGTGGGACCTGGAGGCTGGCTCCCTGACCAGGACATGGAAGGTGGGTTGCAGCTTGGACAGCTTGGGCTTTGGGTGCCTGTCTCTCCGCCTGGGGGTGGAGTGCTGGGCTTTGGCCGCAGATAGCTTGGCACTTGGTCTGGAAAGATAGGTGGACTTAGATGACTTGGGTGTATATTTCTATATGAAATATTAACTCAGGTAAGTGCATGTATTTAGATTATACTGTAGCATAACTGTGTGTGTGAAGCCCACCGATTGAGCCATTAGCATAGCATTGTACTTCAAGACGTAAGAATAAAAATGCAAGAGGCAGAACACCGAAGACTACACTCTTCTTTTGCTGAAAGAATGTTCTCATCTATGCTCCATCTCTTGCATGTTTTTATTCTTTTGCTTTGAAGTTCGCTTCCACAACATGCTCACTCCGTCCATAATATTGCTTTACAAAACATTGGGTATCACAATGTAATGACCGGATGTGTCTTAGCAAAGCCGCCTGTATACTCTGTGCCTGGCAGACGGAGGGGAGAACAATAGCGGGCGCCGTCGAAAAAGTCGCGCGCCACCGCCGCCCCCGATCGTGGGGGCGCCACCAACGTTGCCGCCGTAGCAGACGACGCGAAAGGCGCAACGCGTTTAGAAGCGCTGGCAAGCCATGCCAAAATGTTTAAAACACGAGTTTTAGCTCCCTCGGGCGTACGGCGAGTGTAGCTACACGATCTGCATGCGCTCGCCTTGCGTGTAAGAAAGATTCGAAGTACGTTAAAAAAAAAGGTACCAACGAACGCGCGTGCAACATTCTATTTCATCTAGAACTTTTTTTTTTTAAATTACTGGTGCTGACGTTAGCACGTGCTGCGCGCGTACTTACAGTCCCCGCATGCACCTATACTTCGTTTCACCTAATGTGCGAGCGAAGGCAAAGCTGGAAGCGCGAGCACGGAAGGTCCGTGCGTTCAGGCTTTGCTCGAGCGCGCAAGCTTGAGAGAAACACACAAACGCGCTGGTCTCGCGCTTCTAGCTTTGGCTTCGCTCGCAGCTAAATTGAAACGAAGTGTAGAAGCTTGGGTAATTTAGCACAGCATCCTTTTGAGCCGGGTTCTTTCCGTTTAGTTCTGAGCAAGGCTCTTGTGTAAGCTCTGCGTTTTTACAACCGCAAAAATATGCCAGAACGAAACGAAGTCGAAGCGTGCCGCTATCTTCGGGTGCCGTCAAGTAATCAAATTTGAAGTTAAAAAGTGAAAGCATGCAACCCTTGCGATAGTTAATACTTGTTGAGAGAAACTACATGACAGGTCATTTTCGGAATTTTCGCGCACCAATATCACGAAGTTTAAGCAGTGCGCATGACGCAATGGTTCTTTGAACTACGCGCACATGCGTCTAAGTGAATTTATTCATTTATTTATTTATTTAAAATACCCTCAAGGTAATAATACATTGAAGAGGGGAGTGGACATCAAAATAATAATTACAATGTGCACGTGTTAGTAAGAACTCTCTTAAACAGAACAATATCAGTAATATTAGGTATGAAGACGGGAAGGTGGTTTCAATCTAATGATGTTTGGGGAATAGAAGAATGTTGAAACAACGGAGTTTTCAAATTTGGCATACCGACTTTATGACTATGATCAATGCGAGCAGAGATATAGAATGGTGTGATAATTAGTTTACGACGAACGTCAGCATTTTGATGAAATATTTTATGGAAAAGACACAAGCGAAAGATTTTACGGCGATGGGTTAGTAATGGCAGACCTAAATAGGTTTTTATGCTTAAAGTAAGTATAAAACAAATGTAGTTCTGAATTCCTCTAGCATTCCCTTTTTTGTTTTCTTTGAACACTTGTTACAGAAAACAGAAGTGTATGAATCGGCAGTTGGAATATTTTAAATTGCTCTATTTATCCCTCAATTATGCATGGGTTTGAATTCAATAGTTCATAATTCAAAAGGCAATGTTTTATTTATTGGCTCAAGCAGTATGTTTTCAATGGACGTAGAAACGCAGAACGGGCATCAGATTCTAACTCTTGGCCAACAAGAAAAGCAGCAGAGCGGAGAACGATCGGGAAGAGAAAACAACACGCTTTTCTAGGCGTGAACGCAAGACTTTCCGACGGGAAGAACCCGACGCCACACGCAGCTCCACTCACGCCGCTGCCGAACGACGCCGATCCCCAAATGTGCGTGACGCCGTCTCGCGGCTGACACGGGCGATAGGAGAGGAGGGGGTGAGTGAGGGAAAGGAGGAAACACGACGGCCTCGAGGCGCGCTTCTGACAGGCACAGAGTATACAGGCGGCTTTGGTCTTAGCCACTGCATAGGGTGGTTATTTCGTGTTACCTTTCTGAGGTGCCTGTTGTTGTTTGTTGGCTGATGTTGATTACAAGTGGAGGTTGTCCTTTTCAGTCTTTCCACACAGGCCCAATCTCCTGCCTTGTGTTTGATTCGAGTTGCACTCTGCTAGCGAGTGGTGGCTGCGATTCCACCGTGAAGGTCTGGGATGTTGTCCGTCAGTACTGCACACATCACTTGCGTGGTGCTCAGGGGGTGTTCAGGTAGGTGTGCTTATTGCTAATGCTGGCCCTGCTTCTGACATTACATGATTTAGATATGCCACTGCTAAAATGGAGGTACGTAGAGCTATGCGAGTCGTTGTAGAGGAGAGATCTCGTGCCCCTGTTCTTTTTTGAGCAGAGCTCTTTTCTCAAGAATGTTACACGATACCTTGTGCAGAGTTTTGTAGGTTTTTGTGCGTAAGTATCTTAGTGTGCTGTTAGGCGTTGCACCCGCCGATATTGATGATGAAATGTTTCAACTTCTATCGTGTATGTGTGTATGTCTGTGCATCTGTTAATTCATTACTTTGACATTTCATTGCCTGACTTTATGAAATGCCTGGTACTCAGGCATTTCATTGCCCGAGTATTTTTGCGCAAATTGAGTGTGAAGTTTTGCCAGAACATGTGTCGAATATATAGGCAACGGCACCTGACGAAGATATACTGCTGCTTGTTATTGACTGGGATTCGCACTATGTACATTCTGTAGAAGGACTTTGTCAGAACCTACATTCCTCACTCCATACCCTCTGCGGCCCCCTGCAGTGTCGTGCAGTTCCACCCAAAGCCTCAGGTGGGACGCCTGTTTGGTGCGGCAGACGACTACAAAATCCATGTGTGGGACTTGTCCAAGAGTGGCCTTGTGGGTTCCCTGGAGGGACACTTCTCCGTGGTCACCAGCCTTGTGTTCCTGGATCAAGGTGACCGGCTGCTCAGGCAAGTCGAGGCAACCGGACGTTGCCTCATTTTTTCAACTTTGAAATTTCTCTGAGATCAGATACTTGACCTAGAACCCTTTTCACAGTGTGTGTCAAGTTGTGGCGGGGTATCTTCAATGGGAGCACTTCAAAGTGCACCTAAAGTGCATTAAGGGGTGTGCTCATTAATGTAACAATGTTTGGTGTGACGAAGGAGTCAAGTTAGCGACTGATTGTTACAAGAATGAGTTTCACGATGTGAGCAGGGCCCGCAATTTTGGGTGAAGGGAGTACTACCAATGAAAAAGGGAGACAATTTTGTTTTGTCAGAGAATAGATCTGGCTCTTTTGGGGAAATTGCTTGATTCTTCAAAGAGGAGGCCTAGTCATCAGCTGCAAAATTATGATGGGAAAAGAATGATGTGAATGACCGAGCAGAATAGCAAATGCTTCCTCTCTAGAGGCACCTGCTGTGTCATGAGTTGCATGTTATGTAAACACAAAACTTCCTATGCCGGCAGCAATTGCGGAAGTGACTTCACGCCATTTGTTTGTTTTGTGGTATCGTAGCTCCAGAATGACCTCTCACCAGGGAAGCTATGCGACGACACATAAAAGCAAACAGCACTATAGTCACCTGACACACAAAGGAGGTTAATAAGAAATGGATCACACTCTCTCAGTGAAGACACTAGTTACACCTCAGGCCGCCTGAGGAGAAATGGCCCTATTAACCAGGGGTTGTTGGTGGAGATTGAAGCAAGATGTGCTACGATGAGTGCACTAGGAAGAGCGTCAATTTAAATGCATAACTTATTTCCATTCACAATTATAGTACTAGGGGAATGTTTCTATACCTAGAACCAGCCTGAAGGTTATGAAGCATTAATACATTTTATTGTCTCCATACTCAGCGAAACAACTATTTTGTGCTACATTGTCAAGGCTACCACAGCTTTTGCAGTGTTCCAACACTGTCAAATATACTTAAATGAGTGTGTGTCTTTGTTTAGCACCTCCTATGCTTGAGAGTGCTTGTGAATGAGAATCAAAGGGAAGCCACATGGTCTTGCAGCAGTGCAGGGCTGCAGCAGTGTGGAAGCTATGCTAGCTTTGGTTGATGTAGCACAAAATAATAGATACCGAGTATAGCTACCCCAGTTTAAATTGTTTTATTGCTACTAGGATGCTAAAAAGGTGACATCAGATCTGATAGCTTTTTGCAGATACAATAAACAACAGGCGAGTGTTGTTTAGGGTCACAAAAAAATGTTTATTCAACCTCAAGCAACAAATCTTCAAATTAGTAGTCTTTAGAACAAATTTAGAATTCTACACTCTAAAAATTACCCATGCACAAACTTTTCCACAGAGCACTGTTGAGGGCGAATCACTGCAGTCTATGAAGGGAGCTTGACCAACAACAAGGCTGGAAATTTGTGTAGGCCTAAGATTGAAGTCGGTGGTGGGGTGCAGAGCGTGATGCTTCACACTGCTCAGCAGCTCATCATAGACTTCATTTTTACCTCTAGGCAAATTTTTAATTTCTGCATTTACTGAGGTTCTTTTGTAGATTCCAGTGGTGGGCCCCTCTGAGTTCTCTGCTGAATTGTAGTCACACTGGCACATTTAGAGTGTACTAGGTAGACCCACATTGAGTAAAATGAGCCATGAAACTTTTTGATAATTTTTTTTATTGTTTTCACAATTGGCATGCATACCCTTGTCATCCTAATTCGCTCTCTTTTTGTTTTCGTGCAGCTCGAGCAGAGACAAGGTGGTCATGCTTTGGGACACAAAAACTCTAAAATCGCTCAAAACCATTCCCGTATATGAGGTGAGTGGGCTGAAAGCAGCCTTTCATCTACTTACAATGACCTGGATGCCTCTGTACCCTCTGCTTGCTCATATTTAGGGAAGATGTTCTAATCCTTTTGGATCTTTCAGTCTATAGAGTCCCTTGTGCTGGTTCCAGACTCCCAGCCTCCTCAGTTCATCACAGCAGGAGAGAAGGGTATGTGGGCTCTCTGATTGGAAATCATTACTAAAAAAATAAAAATAAAGAAGAACACTAAAGGAAATTTGAAGTTCACAAGTAACAGTCAAAACTCTATGTTTGCATCTTCGAAACAATAGCAACAATTTTTTTTATTGAATGAGGCCACTATGTTGACTGCAATGTGTTCTCATAGCATCTTTGAGGCTCACGTGATGTGAAAGCAGTCATATGAACATAGAGAAATGACTGCATTCGGAAACGTGCATGTGAAATGCCCATGAAGACTGGTTCACACATTTGCACTTTACTGCATTCGACTGCAATAGGACTGCTCGTGTAATTCTGACAACATCAGTCGTAGGGCCCACAGTGTCGCGTCATTGGGAGTATGCAAGTTTTCGTGGTGCCATCTATCGGAAGTCAGCGAAATCATTTCTTTCCTGCCACTACCCTCCCCAGTTTTCACGGCATACTGTCTTTTGTCTCGATCGCCTGTCGCGACCTTCAACAACGCCGGGCGGGATGCGGTGCTCTATTGTAGCCGAATCAGGCCTTGAAAAGTTGACAATGGTGGATGGGAGGACTGGGAGCCCCAACGAAAGAATCAAACGTAGTACTCTCAGTGACGTCACTGTGCCTCTCACTTGAAAGACGGCGTGAGTTGAGGGATTCCCCAACCTTCGATCTGTTTCATTTATTTTCCTAAAAACTAGCATGCGCAAGAAAATATTTTTGCGAAAGCATTAACTGTCCCATGGAGCGCAGCCGGCATTGTCAGTAACCACGAAAAGCGGCACCTAGTCCCATTGGCTGAGTGTAACGGCATCTAAATGCCCATTGGCTGAGCGAAATGGCACCTAAATGCCAGTCATCAAGCACGTGCATTCAGAAATAAAACAAAGAAAAGCACAGCAATGCAGGTTCTTCGTCACCGAGGCCGACGGGTGCACTCAAAGTCTAAGCAGACGCGCCTCAGAAATAAAACACAAAGAAATGCACAGTGACGCAGATGCATTGTCATGGAAGGTGTGAAGCCGGTGGTGTTCGCCGTGCCTGCTCAGTGGGGGAGCGTGATGTCGCCGCCAGAGCACCGTGTGCAATAAGAAGACGTGGCGCACCACTTGTAGAAAAGTGCTGCATGTAGGAATGCTTTTGCATTCCTACACGTCAACAATCTTTAGTGTCTGCTGAATTTTTCTTTTTTCTCGTTCTAAAAGAGAAATAGACCAATTCCTCCAATTAATTGGCCAAAGTTCAGAAATGGTTGCACCACCCCTTTAATATTCAAATGGAGTCATCAGTGTTGTTCACACCAACACCCTTCCTCCGTAGCAAAAACAAACGAGAACTGATGCATGCCTTGTAAAACTAACATTACTAGCTGAGTCACGCGATCTGTTAGCCGGGCCGTTCTCTGCCGGCTGGAGGCTGTAGGAACAGGGACAGTCTCATGTGCGACCCTTTTAAATTTAAAAGGGAAGAAAGGTCTAAGACAGAGAGCTGAAGCCTTCTTTTTTACCCCTGATCCACACCACAGGAGTCCTTCGTACGTGGAACACAAGCACCGCGACGTGTGTGCGAGAGCAGGAGAAGGGGCCAGCCGAGGAGGGTGCCATTGTGCAAGCGCTGCACTGCCCTCACCGGAAAGCCCTGTCAGTGGTCACGTTTGACCACAACATCACCCTGCGCTCCATGGACGACTTCGGTATCCAGAAACAGGCAAGTTGGTACTGAGTTGCTGGGTGCCAAAGAGTACTGGTGGTGACATTCTTAAGGATCCTCAGGCATCCACATGCTGGAGCTCCTCGATTGCCTGCTTGACGTCATATGATTATATGAATGAGGGATCTTGTGGAGTTTGCCATGCATAGTTTTCCGCCGGGAGTTTACTTAGGAATGCTATATTACATGGTCACGTGATCCATAGCTGCAGCAGCTATGCCACTCCTTGTAAGACCAACCACATGATCATGTGACCCATCGTCACCGATGACATAGGAGATCACGCCATCTGATGATGAGTGCCAAAAATTTGAACTTGCCTCGATGCTTTGCACAAAGCTGAAGACGTCATCTCTTCGGCACCAGAATAAATTTAATATATATTAATCCTACGGATAAATTTGGGAGACAGAATGTGCATTGTTTTTTGAGCTGTGCTGGGTGTTCGTTTTTGAGTATTTCTAAGCTCGGGAGACATACTATGTGCAGGGCGTCTACAAAGAAATTATAGTGTGTAAGTAAAACTTGTTTGTATGTTCCTAGTTCATACATTTTCCCAGCTGTTACATACATGTATGTGAGTGCCAGTCTCCCTGAACTTCCATAGGAATATATTTGCGTTAATTTATGATTTGTTGACATTTGCCTTCCCGGTTGTTACGTCCGTCCGCGCCGCCATTTCCCTCTTTTTGCTCCATTCCACCTCCTTTTCCACCTATTTGACGCTCAAGTGCCTCTTTCTGTCTGGTTGGTCAGGGCATTGGACTAGGCCTGAGTGTGATTTAGGGTTTTGGAAGAGCTTGTTCATCTTTCCATCTCCTGCTTGGGCACACTATAGTCCGTTGCAATTCAAGAAAGTAGGGTGAGGGTAAGACGGACCGGGGCAGGGGCGGATCCAGAACTCCGTTTTGGAGGGGGGGGGGGATCTAAAGTAGGATAAACAGGACTCCGGTTGCGCCTTTTGTTTTAACCGCCGCAGAACCACACTGCGCCGACAGCCCCTAGATGTGCACCACTGAGCTGACTTATTGGCTTCAAGCCGTGCTTTGAAACCCCCGCCGCGGTCTTCAGTCTTACTTAAAGTAATGGAGTGTTCTCCAAGTTCAGAGTACAAGTGTGCCTGCTAGGGTGCGACCTACCCTATTTTGAACCCTCGTCTGAGCCCTCTACCACCTGGCAGGCCGGCAGTCAGTTTTATTTTGGGGGGGGGCGGGGGGGGGGGGGGGTTTACCCATGTCAAATTGCCTTTCGAGAAGGGGGAAGGGGGGGTTGCCCCCGTTGCCCCCCCCTTGGATCCACCCCTGGACCGGGCAGGAGGAAGCACATGGAATGCTAAAGAAAGAAGGGGGTTCCCCTCTCTCTTCTCGAGCGTTTCGTCTGCTTCCTTCTCCCCGGCCCGTCTTACCCTTGCCCTACCTTCTTGAGTTGCAACAGACTATTGTGTGTCAGTTGTGCTCGGTTTTCCTGGTTCCACTATACCAGAAGTCAATTCTCTGTGGTAGTTGTTGGAGGAAAATTGGAGGAAAAAAAGGAAAATTGTTGATTTGTATTTGAATATTAGTTAGTTCTTCAAAGCTATGAAGGTCTGCATGAAATAAATTGTTATATAAGGGTTGCTTGCTGATTCATGTATGGCCCTTTCAGTCGCGTTACCGGGTATTACATTTTCCCAGATCATGCTCTTTTAAATTATTGTCTCCTGAAGAGTGTATCTAAAAAAAATGTGTCTGAGAAACTTTTTTTTTTTTTTTTTATTTGCTTTAATGCACGGTCATCCCATTGCTCAAGTGTCAACCTCCGCCGCAGTCCAAGACTTGGGGGTGTACACTCATAAGTCATTGAGTTTTAAACACCACGTTGAAAGAGCGGCCAATGAAGCAGTGAAGTTCGTTGGTCTCATAGCACGCATTTCGAAGGAGTTCACTAATCCTAGCTGTTATTTGTCACTCTTTCGAGCTATCCTGTGCTCTCGGCTATAGTACTGTTCAGTGGTATGGAACTCTGTTCCTCACTACTTGCCACTTTCTTTGGAACGAGTACAGATGAGATTTGTTCAAATCTTTTATGATCGTTATCTTTTCAGAAGAGTATATTACTCATATGATAGGATGGATGTGGATTATACTTCGGAAAATACGGTATTTAAAAGTTCATAAAATAAATACTCTTCAAAAATCGGCTGGAATTACATGAAATTGGAACTTGACATAGGTAGGGTGTCTAGGAATCGTTTAGAGTCACCAAAACCATCCCTCCCTGTATGTTGTGATTTTTCTGGCCCCTCTTGCACCGTTACAATAGCTGCCCCTCCCACAACAATGTTTCAGTCTTCACAAAGTGTTGGCCGGCGGTTTCCGTGGGTGCAATTTAAACCTTTTTTTGTTAGCGAAGATTTTGCGATGAATCTTCGTTGGCAGGCTGAGAATCGCGCTGAAGTGCGGATGTTTACGACTTTCAAGTTGTTGAACGGCAAAACTTGCGCGAGCTCCCACTGTTGTATCTTTGCTTTGTGTGTACGTCTAAATCTGACACGGCACGTTTCGATGTAAACGTCAAAAGAAAGAACCCACTTGTGGCACTCATTCATGTCTAAGTGTAGTTTGAGGGACGATGAAAATCCCTTACGTTTCTCAGCCACACTCGTGACGAGTGGGGCAGATCTCATTGTTTAAAAGTATCGTCGGCGGGCCAATGTCGCACATCACTGAACTCTCGGGGCCATATCCCCTTGTTTTGTAAACATTTTCGAAGAACCCAATCTTCTTTTCCGAAGCACTGACAGACGTGAACAGAGTGCCGATTGTGCTGGAACAGTTGCGGTTGCGGTTGTTAGACTTTACTAGATAGCCTGTATTATGGAGAGCTTCCAACTGATCGGTCCGGGTCACATTGTTTATTCGCGACTCTAGCGACCTATAGGGGGCGCCACCACCAAACAAACATGGTGGCTGAGTCCAGGTCGCGTCGGCTCGGCCGGGCCGCCTCAAGAGGTGGCACGTTCAATTTAACAGATTTTCTTTTGTTTAATGCCCAATTTTTATAGGTATTTGAACTGAGACGGTTAAGTTTAGCCGGTGCACATAAACTTGCAAAGCATAGTTTTGTTTTCCCGGTGTTTTTTGTTCTTTTCATGTCAAACTTTCGTTTCGGAGATTTAGTTCAAAACTGAAACTATGGGCTCCGGAGAGATGGTAATATACTAATCAGTTTTGATCACCTAAGGAAAGTGGCGATGACTACAGAATTGTTCCACCGAGAGTAATTCACAGCTAACTCGCATGCCTTGCCCGTGCGACTTATCTGTCCGCGAAATCGAGCTTTTGTGCGTATCCGCGTTTAAGAAACAGCTACAGTCGTCTGCTCGGTCAACAACACATGCTGCAGGAAAATTACGAAAATTAAGCAAGCGCTTCTTGAGCCAAGGATCATGTTAACCCGCCGGCGCCCCACTAAGCAGCTGATACTCGTATTTCAATTCAGGTTTTAGTAGCAATCGAGAAGTCATTTTGACGAGCGGGTTTTGTATTATATTACGTACTATGTCCGACTAAAGTGATATTAGTATATTCTTTGGGTTGAAATATGAGCTTAGTTGACTAGCTAATAGGTGAACTGCTGAATAAAAGTATATTTGACAGGCAGAGAGATACTACTTAAACTTAGCCAAATGGTTTTAGCCGGCAGCACGGAGACAAACTGGAGAGTCTTCATCGGAGATTCACGCTGAACCTCTCTGCATTGAACTTTGCTTTGAATCCTGAACGGAGAAAATTAGTACTTTTTGTGGCTGGCCAACCTGAGCAATGTAGACATATATTGCTGATGGCTTCGACGGGGGTATAATATAAATATTGAAGGTGCGATAGATCATAATGCCGTGACGGCTTCTAACTTTGCGAGACGCGTCCCCCACCTTTTGAAAGCAGATAATTTCCCTCATTAATCATATGCAGCGAGCAGGTTTTCCTGAATCAGGTAATTGCAAAATCAGCACAACTCCTTCAGTGTGGTCCAGAGGCTTTTTCGGCGAAAAGCAGCCAAGATGAATAGCCAACGCACCGATCGGCGTGGGTGGCTCAAACTTGAAGCTAACCGAACACAACCAAACTCAAGAAAAGCAGCTATCGAACCTTCCCATTCACTTGACTGCAATATTGGTGTTTCCTCCAGTGGAACGCCTCGTCTGTCGTCGTCAGTCCACTGTTATACATCCTTATAAAGAAACCACTTATCAGTTACCAAGCAGTCGTCACTTTGAATGTGATTCGAGACAGACAAAAAATCAAAACGTTTTCCCGTGATTTTTTTCCATCCAAAAAAATCGAAAGCACGTGACCGCATGTTGTGGAGTAAACGGGCTTTCAAACACGTTATGGAAAGAAGCAATCTACTGAGGCTTCACCACACTAATGAACACTTCAAGCAAACTTTAGAAATATTCGGACCTTCGCCAAATTACATGTTCGCCACCGCGCCGACAACACGTGTCCGCGAAAGCCACCCGAGACGCGGAGGGGCGCGGAGCGACCTGGCCCGGCTGGTTCCCGGTTTTTCCGCTTGGTGGCGTCCGTTTTGCTGAAGTCGTGAATAAGCTGCATGTGCAATATGAGCTGCAAGGAGGTGCTGAAAGTGTTTATCGTCTCCAAACGTCTCTCCTATTCTGCCCGGTTTTCTCCTTGCCGTGCGAAAACACAGCGCAATGCGCACTTGCAACCAGTCTCCTCCATTAAATTTGCAAACGGTTTCCACGGTTTGAGATAGACCTTTTCTTCAACTTAGGCTCTCTAGGCTTAGCATGGCAATTGTTATCACAGGACCTCCTAGACATGATTGCACACCTTGTTTGTGACAAGTGTGCTTCCTCCCTCTGCAGTTTGTCGGCTACAACGACGAAGTGCTGGATGTGCGGCTGGTGGGCAAGGAGGAAGGCACCCTGGCAGCGGCCACCAACAGCCCCCACGTGCGCCTCTTCCAGCTGTCCACCTTCCACTGCCGCCTGCTGCGAGGACACTCGGACATCGTCGTGGCATTGGACACCTTCGCCTCGGACCCAACTCTCTTGGTCACCGTCTCTAAGGTGAACTTTCTCGCAGTAATCGGGCAACAGACTTTAGTCCTTTAGACCAACAATATTTATGGGTCTTGACCCGTGACCAGATTGAAAAATCAGAATTCCTGCTTTATGATCTCAAGGATCAGTCCTCGTTCTGGCCCACAAGCTATGACTTACTAGCACAAGTTCTCAAGTTTCATTTAGAAAGCTTTAGTGATCATGCATTCTGTGCCATATGTGCCAAGGCTTTTTATGTTGTTTGGGAAATTTTTTTTTCCAGCGTGTGCCAACTGTGGCTAGTATGGTAAATCATCACCAGAATCAACTGATCTTCCATAAACAAATAGACTCTGGAATGGATCCTTTGGGTTTTTTCAGAATCTAATCTGTGAGCAGGCTTTACTGAAACTTTATTGCATTTCTTGATTAGACACAAAGCATGGGGATTGTGCTGCCTTCGGCACCTAATTTACATTACAGACATCAATACAGGTGCGGCCTTGCCCAAGAATTTATGTTAAAGATGTGTTCGTTACTCGAACTAGTGGACACACATGGCAACCGAGTATAATGACATATGAACTCGCACTTTCCACAGCACAGTGTCTTTGTGTGGCATGTCAAATTTTTACTTTTATCTTTATTAGGACAATACTCTGAAGTTGTGGAGGGTTCATGAGGATGACCATGTGGAGTGCTTGTTCACGGGGAAAGGCCATACGCAAGCCATTGCCTCTGTAGCCTGCTCACGGTGAGACCCATACCGTCAACATTTCAATTCCCTTTTCCTAAACGCCGGTAACAAAGCACCTATCACATAGAAGAGCCAGGTGTAGTTCTACTTTGGTCTTGTTTTAAAATACTATGCAAATGTTCATCTAGGCTTTCAGTTTGAAGGGTGAAAAAAATTAAATGGAGGGGAAGGTCTTTTGCATGAGATCCCCTCAAGTGGGATTGAAAAGTACCCCAAACCCTGGTATGACTAATGGCGAATGGTTGTTGTGGAGCACGCCAAAATCGACTTTTGTGGAGCGCACCTATTTCACTAGGCGATTGGGACTGGGACGGACATGTTCCACTTGTCGTTTTAGATTAGCTCCCACTCCAGATCTTGATCCAGATCCGAGGAAAGTCGCTACGCCGATTTTGGCAGATTCGACCAGAAGCCAGCCTGGCTGGCCCTCGGCGTGCACACGTGACGTCCTTCCCCGCCGGGCATCTTACCTCAAAAGAATTTGTAATGGCCGCTTGCGAAGTGCCGCCCGCCTGAAGGCCCGTTCACACTCTTGCGACCGAGTAAGACCGAGAGTGACCAAACCAATTTTTAAGCTTCTTGCGACATCTTAAGACCAGCTTTGTTGCAGCGCATTCGGTCCTAAGATGTCGCAAGAGGCTTAAGAACCGTCTGGTCTCTCTCGGTCTTACTCGATCACAAGAGTGTGACAACCTTCACTGCTGCTGCTTGATCAGGACCAGGCGAATTTTTTCGGTCGCGCACCAGTCACCTAGCTGTGTTTGAGATTTGTGTTTGTCCTTTTTCCCCTTTGTTCCCCTTCTCCAGGGATTATTATTGTCATGCTTGATGACAGTTTGTCGTCAAGTTGCTCGAGCAGTTCCTCCAGCAGGAGCGTGTCGAGTAGCAGCGATGACAAGGATTGCTTGTATGTCCCATGTGAATTCGACTGCCTTTTCGAACCTCCGCAGAAGAGGCCGAAAATCGAGACATACTTAGACACCGTTCACGAGTATTCCGATGAAGCAGAAAGTGGACTACGCTGATGCACATCGCTTATCGACACTCATCTTTCACATCATGATTAATTTCTCTCGTCCGTTAAACACGCTGCAATTGCAAAATCACAATTGCATTTTGTGTTTGCGTTTTGAGTGCGCCACGATTGCAAAAACATGGGCTTCGAGATCCAGGACTGTGGGAAGGGAATATCCGGGAAGGTGAATGACGGGAAAGCATCCGCTGTTCGACTGGGGATCCGGAGGCGGAGCGACTCTGTTCGGATTGCGTGCTCCATCTCGGGTTTGGTCTACTGATCTTAGCGAGCTCCAAAAGGACCAGTGGAATTCGCCATAAGAATAAAGGCCTCCAGATTAAGGTAGTAATTCTGCTAACTTGCGTATTGAGAAGTTTCTTTGCAATTGCACTTGTGGAATTATACTCTGAATTTCGTAGTGAGGAGTCTAGCCACCGTCCTCATGATGGTGACGCTGGATTAATCAGAAAGAAGTGCGAGGTGACTGAGCATCATGCTTGAGGTTTTAAGATCAGGACAGGAGCTATAGATAGTCTAGGTTTTCTCCTGAATATGCCAGATTCACTTTGAGCCACGCACAGTATTGCACACTATGTTCTTTTTTCTTTATTTGTTTTTGGTTTGCTTGTGTGGCTTCATCACACAGATAAGTATCCCATCCCAGCTATTTGCACCATCGGCCTGAAACGAAAATGAGGAAATATGTAGGACACCCCGAAATTAGGATAACCGTATGATCATTAAGAGTTGTGGAGGCATCCCAAGTAGCTTGTCCCAGGAGATATTGTGGTCGCAGCCATGTGCCGTTCTTTCCCCAGGTTGACGTCGTCATTCGTGGTGACCGGTTCCCAAGACACGACCTTGAAGCTGTGGGAGGTTCCCGAGAGGCCACGACTGGTGACGGTGGTAAACCCTTACGTGGGGGCGCCCCTCTCCTCCAAGCTGACCGTTGCAGCTCACGAGAAGGATGTGAACTCGGTCAGCGTATCGCCCAATGACCAGCTCATTGCATCAGGCTCTCAGGACAAGACGGCCAAGGTCCGAGCACGTGTTTGTATTTCGCGGTGGCTTGTCTACTAAAGCCGCTCGGACGTCATACAAAAGGCACTGTGTTCGCCGCAGACATGTTCGAAGCATGTTAATCTCGTACATACAAGGGTAGATTGAAAAGTTTCCGAAATGAAAAGGAAAACAATATAAATCTGATTCAAGTTATACTTTATTTTTCAACATATTCCGAAGCTCGACACACTTGGTCCAGCGTTTCTTCAGCTTGGTTCCCTCCCGGAAGAGACTTTCTTCAAGGTCCTCAAAATAACTTTTCATGGCCTCCATCACCTCTTCATTCAACAGAAATCTCTTTCCAGCCAGGAGGGTTTTGAGGTTTGGGAATAGGTGGAAGTCCGAGGAAGCCAAATCAGGTGAATACGGTGAATGTTGAAGGATTTTGAACTTCACTTCTGTCAGTTTTTGTTCAGTGACTGCACTTAAATGGGTAAGTGCATTGTCGTAGTGATACAACACCTGTTTCTTAACAATTCCCGCATGTTTCTCTTGAATTACTTGTTTCAGCTTATCCAGAAGTGTTATGTAGTATTGGCCAGTAACATTTTTTTTTTCCTTTTCAAGGTAATCAGTAAGCAAAATTCCTTTCGCGTCCCAAAAAACGGATGCCATCCCCTTGCCAGCCGACTGAACGGTCTTTGCCTTCTTCAGAGCCTATTCACCGGGCCCAGTTCATTGTTTTGATTTACTTTTTGTTTCTGGTGCGTGATGGTGGACCCAGGTCTCATCCATAGTTACAAATTGTTGCTTGAAATCTGTTGGATCTGCCTAAAGCACGCGCAAACTGTCGGCTGACGTTCAGGCTCGAATGAGTTTTTGCTCCAGATTGAGCAAATGCGGCACTTGTCTTGCAGAAGGTTGCTTTAATCTCAATTCATTGTGTAAAATATGAACAACTCGTTCAGAAGAAATTCTCACTGCTTCTTCAATTTTACACACTTTTATGTGGCGGTTGTCCAAAACCAAGTTTTGAATTTGATCCACAATTGCTGGTCTGATAGCTGTTTTTTGATGTCCTGAATGTGGTTTATCCCTTGTCCGTATGATCACGCTTGAATTTGGAGACCCAAAAACTCGCGATGAAAAAGGGAGGTGATGAGGCCCCAAAAACAGCATTCAACCTATATTTTATTTTCAATACAGTTTTCCCTCCAAATAAAAAAAATTGATGTCCGCTCGTGTTTTGTTTTATCCATCATCGAAAATGATCATTGCTCGACTAGAATGCTTCTCAAAGCCAGATTTTTTTAGATATCACTCTGACTTTTGAGGTCATTTTATACGAATGGCTGTCGAACACAGCGGCATAAAATTATTTTTGAAAAAAAAAAAAGCCCCCTCACGGTGATTCCAGAAAGTTTTCAATCCAACCTCGTATATATATAACGTGTCTGCAGACACGTTATATATTGTGTCTGCAGACAGTTTTTTTACAACAGTGTAACAAATCCTTCATGCAAGGAAGAAGCAAGACTCGGACAGTGCCTACAGATTGTCTCTTGTATGTCGTTTTAGCAGTGTGACTGCGGCTCAAGATGAGCGGAGAAGATGAAAAATCGTTGGTGCGCTGAGGTGGGAAAATTCTGAGAATCGTTGCATCCTTTGGTTATAAACCAGATGTAAAGGGATATGTGAAAATATGTCACTTTCTGCACTTTTTTTTTTTTTTTGGTTTTAAATACGCTTGCAATGGTCCGACATAACATATTTAATTTTTTAACTGTAAAGAAAAGCACCTGTTCTAGGAGTGTAGTACCAAACTGGAGGAGAACTGACAAGAACAGATAGGGACAGATGAGATGGTCTTATTGGATTTGGCTCAACGTTTTCTTGTATGTGTCTCTGGTTGCAGTATGTTACCACATTTTGTCAGTGTCTTTAGTTTGTTAGTTCAACATGTTTGTGAAGTGCTACAGGTTTTAGGCTGATGTGGCTAGCTTTTTTGTTGATGTTCCTTGAATAACTAAACTGGTAGGGTGCTTTCTTGCAAGAGTCTTTGAATTTAAACAAATCTTACCTTGCTGCCTGCAGCTTTGGAGTGCTGCTGACTTGAGCCTTTTGGGCACTTTTCGGGGGCATCGAAGAGGCATCTGGTGCGTCCAGTTCTCTCCTGTCGACCAGGTGAGTTTTTTTTTTATGCACGGCTATGTAACTAATTTTGCTTGGGAAAGACAGTTTGGTCACTCGCAAATTTTTGAGGCAAATACTGGAGTGAAGCTGAAATTAGCTAAACTACCTAGTTTCAGCAGTATTTAGGAAAGCAATTTGAATAATGTTTTTTTGTTTACCTTTTGAATCATATATGGAACTCGCTCGCTATGTGTAAGAAGTAAGTGTTAGACTAGCAGCAGTGCTCGGCTTATTCTCAAGTTTATTGATGTTGGTTGTGTCCTTGTTATGTAGGTACACTACCCAGAAAAAAAAAAAAAAGAAAAAGATTTCTGCAGAAATGGTGGATTTTGAAATATGCCATACTTACATCCACCAACATCTAGAGAGTATGTATTCATGGAAAGTTTCATTAGTTTAAACAAAATAGTTAATTATAAATTATTTTCGGTCCTTCGATGCGCGTTTTTCTTCTGTTCCAGTTTTTGACATAAATTTCACTTTAGGCAAAATCGTTTGGTAACGGGACGAAAGGAAAAACTCACTCATTGTTTTCGTAACTGGAATTTATTGGACAATGCAACTGTGGCATTGTGTTTTACTTTGTGGATGTCTCTTATAAAAGATGTTAAGATTTTGTCGACGACATAAAAGGGAAAAATTCATGTCATTTTTCACCGCAATGTTAGTGCAAAATAAATTACTCTTTTTAAATTTTGTTTTCACAGTTGCACGTTACATTAGTTTTCGAACAATAGTTTTCCTAAACAAAGTCAGTGTTTTACTGATAAAAACAACTATAATTTCTTTTACAATTCATGTACGCAGATGAAACTTCGCACTGCATTCTGCCTCGCAACTGCCAGTATATACTGTAAATTTTATTCATATTAAGCCAAAGATTCAAAAGTTGACTTTTTTGGGTAGTGTCTCCCCTTATTCCAAACTCGCCATGGAGTCAAAGAGCTCTCGGCTCTTAATTGATGGTCACCTTTTTTATGCGGATAGCATCTGTGCTTCTTTCAAGCTGGCTTTGCCCTCCGAGGCCACAAGAAAACTAGATATAACTAAATGAGTGAAAGTGATGGTTGTACAGTAAAACCTCGTTATAACAAAGTTGAAGGAGCGGTCGTAATTATTTCGTTATAACCATTAGTTTGTTATAGCCAATGTCCATTTCTTCCCACTATTAGCAAGCAAGGGGAATTATGATTGCTTTGTTATATCCCGTTTTGTTATAACGAGGTTTTACTGTATTATGTTCTTAGTTGTCACTTGTGGGAATTGATCGGTGCTAAGGGTGAACTTTCATTGTTTTATTTCTTTAATGCACTGCAAATGCTTTCGGTTCCTGCAGCAAGTCAAAGCAGCTTGTTCAGTGTTCTTGTGCACCTTTCTTAATGTCGCAGGTGCTGGCAACCTCCTCAGCTGATGCTACCATCAAACTTTGGTCACTTTCAGACTTTACTTGTTCTAAGGTGGGTGGAGTTAATGCCAAGGTTTTTGCCCCCTTTCCCAAAAATATTTGTGTTACAATTTTTGTGCTAGCATTGCATGAACTGTATGAGAGAGTAAGGTGCACTCATCTTGATCGCAAAAATGAATGTTCTGAAAGCCTCAGAATGGCAGCTGATGTTTCGCTAAGAAGCTTAATTTTCTAACGAAATGGCAGCTGCCGATAGGAGACTTTCGGGAGGCTCCTTTGTCAGTTCTTTCCACCAGCTCGTTGCGCTTTTGAGCTTTGTTGGAATGTTTTCATTGATATAAAGGGATAGAGAATTGAAATTTGGGGTTGGATGAAAACAGCTGTGAGATGGCTTGTAAGAATGCATAATAACTAAAAATGTCACCTACCAATGGGAGTGTGCTGGTGCACTCTCCTCAAATACTCTTGGGAAGTCTTGTGTGGTGTTTTAAAAATGATTTTGAGGGTGCGGAAAACTTCAAAAATTGCTTGGAAGTAAACTTGTCGATTTTGGATGGATTGGTAGCCTGGTGATCTGTTCAAACAGTATAGGCCTTTCCAGCAGCAGTCTCGAACGAAGTGATTTACAGCGTGTGTCTCTGGTTTTGAGAGTGTATGTCAGTGTTGCCCGACTGCGCTGGGCTGTGGGTTTTCTCATCAGTGGGCTGTGCCAGCCTGCATGGGCGCACTTCCGAACACTGGTGGCAGCTAAATTGCCGCGTTTTATTTTTTTCTTTCGTGTTCTATGGCGAATAGAATTTCTCGAGGTTTTTAAGAACGCATTGTACTATTTTTGGGAATGAAAACAAACAAATGAAAGCTGTTTTGGTGAGTCCGTCCACGACAGCACAAATCCAACTGGAGTGTTTGTTTCATTTTATGTTGATATTTTGCGGCCCCATACACTCAACCGTGTCAATCTACGAAAATCTTTACTATCCATAAAAATTTTACCACACAGGAAAGCCAAACTGCATGGGTATTCCCCTCTCGCAGCATGAAATTCAGCGAGTCTCATCAATCGAACAACATATACTGCACAGACCCCCCTAGTGCAGCATTATCGAAGCAGGATTTGAAAAAGTCTCAAATAACACAGCATATCCAATATACAGTCTCGACAATAGTCACTTCACGATGAACGGATGGAGTCCGGCTTGTTTTAGGGCACATGTTGAAGAGAGCTGCTTTTTTTGCACAGCACCAAAGCAAATGAAGGAACCTATACATTCCGTCCTCACACCCCGGACCCGGCCCTATCAGATATTTTTCGTAAGGACCCGGACCATAGCCGGGAAGGCTTTTTGGAGATTATCTCAGTAGAAATAGTCCTCGAAGAATGTCAAACGGCTTGCGTCTCTGGCTACTTGACATTCGCTTTCTTCGTTCGTTTCCTACAAAGCCTGAGCAGGCTACAAGCCCTGGTATTCCCTGGTTCTCACAGTGGAAGATAACACATAAAGGGTAAGCACCCTGAACAGGCAAATAAGGTAAAAACTTTCATGGAAAGCTGGCGAATTCCGAATGCACAGTGCAGGTGGGGAGTCCTGCTGATTGGGTGTCCACAGCTCGGGCGAGTGGCGGAAATTTCTGGCCGATAGGGATCGCTTGAATCGCAAAATGGCGGTGGCCAGAGAGCTCTTTTTGCGAAGGTCTATAGGTCACTGTATCCAGTTCATCTCACTTCTGCTTCAAGCCAGTTACTCTCGTTCCTCCTTCCCTCATTTTCCTTCTTCCTTTGCCTCCTCCTTTTTGAAAAAGAACACTACCAAGAAGAAAACAAAAATTCCTGCAAATTAAATTGATTTTGAAAAATGCCATATTTATTTCCACCAAAATCTAGAGTGTATTCCTAGAAAGTTAGGAAAACTGTCGTTTGATAACGAGACAAAAGAAAAAGCTCACTCATTGTTTTTCCTAACTGGAAAGCAACTATGGCAGGGCGCTAGACTTTACAAAAGTTTGGTTATGATACCTGTCACCCGCTGCCTCTACCCACTTCACTCCTGCCTGAAAGCTCCATTTTATCACGCCATCCCTCCCTCTGCCTCTAAACATGGCTTAAGCGGTGCTTATCCGCCGTAATGGCTTTTGCTCGACGACATCTCCACTGTCTTCAACCTCGGTCTTCATTGGCGCGCCACACTTTCTCCACTGACGCTGCCATCAACTCTGAGAGCTCCATGCCCATCTTTAGCACTGCACGGTACGATGTCGACAACTACCTGTGCAGCACCCAAGTTTTTACGTCGTCCTGCTCCTCGTGTTACGCTGAACCTTGTGCAATACATCACTACTTGAGTTCCATCGACATTGCCAGCTTGGCACCCTCCTCCAGCATTACGATATAGTACAAGGATTCTTAGGAAGCCCTCCACGCTCTCCGACACCGATCCCCGTCATCGACAATCATTCTTCAAATTCATCGGGCCACACCAATCCCCGTCATCGACAATCATTCTTCAAATTCATCGGGCCACACCGATCCCCGTCATCGACAATCGTTCTTCAAATTCATCGGGCCACCCTCTCCATCTGGATGGCTGGTCTCTCTTTCCTAGCCAACTGAGTACCCGCTCACTGCTGCCTTCTTGGTAATGAAAGGGCTCACTCACTTGCATGCACTATACTTCTTTCCGTGCAAGCCGGGTCCTTGACGTCCCCCACGCCACTGGAGCTTACGCCGGGTTGCTGTCATGGCGCTCAAGAAACCCGGCAGGTTCAAACCAGCAAACAGTGTCAATACCTGACAAGTCAGGCTAACCCTCTGGACTTTCCCTCTTTCTCTCACCTCCCCCTGACTCGTTTTCAGACCTGCCTCCTACACCAAGCACAGGTGGAAGCCCTCCTCGCTCCCGTCCTCCTCGAGTAGATTTACCCTCAAATTCCACTGAACCCTGAGTGCACCCACTGCCACGTACCCGCTACATTAGGACATTGTCGATGGGACTGTCCCTTTTACTCAGCAACTTGCTCTCGTGTGCACTCTTTCAGCTGCCCCCTCCACTCTCGCCGAGTGGCTCTACCACCCTTCTTCACCCGACCACGGTTAGGTCCTCGTGGCATCACTCACTCCTATAGTACTTGGAAGCCCCCCCAAGCGTCCTCACTTGGCTCCAGGCTACTCGGGCCCTGCAAGTCATTTATCGCCGTAGCCTCGTTGTCAAGCTGTCTCTGATGACACCAGCGAGAGCTAGACACCTCGCCTGTGACCAAACTGTGGAATTAGGGAAAGGACTCGTTCGTTTTTAGAGTAACAGAACATGGTTTATTGTATTGAAAACTCATTTAAGTAAAGTTAGAGATGGCACGTCCTCCTTCAAGAAGGGGAGAAGTCGCCCGCACCAAGCGTCGGTCCAAGAGGGGGGCTCGTCGTTTATGACCCCACGGTGGGGCGCGCTCTCCCCACGGCTCTCCGTCCCTCTCCCCGGTTTCCCGGAAAGGGGCTGGTGCCTCAGTTTCTGCTCGTCTTCGAAGTCGTTTTTCCTTCCCTCTTCCCGGCTCGGGCATCTCCACGTTTTCTTCTTTTTATTTTACAACACATTCCCCCCCAAAATGACAGCGTCATTTTTTTTGCCCCGTTATGCGATCTCTAGAGGGTACAATAACTGTATGGGTCTTTTTAGCGTTGACCCTCCGGGCATCTTGAGCAGGCACGATCATAGTTTGCCGTCTCTTCCCGGAAACACCTTCTGGATCCTAGTAAGTCTCCACTGCTGTCGGGGCCGCAGGCCGTCACGGAGAAGAACCAGATCACCCTCTTACAGCAGTTTTCCCTGGCGTTGTTTCTGGCTTTGCACGTTCGGAAGGAACAGCTCCGCCATTCCTTCCGAACAGTACTGTCTCATTACAGCGTCATACTCGCGAAGCAGGTCCAGTGTTTTTTGGAGATGGTTCGTCAGCTGGGTCAGTCGTTTTTCTGCTATTTCCCTGTTGTCGTCGAGATTCACGTTTGGTTTCCAGGGAAGAGCAACTTTGAATCGGGAATTAACTCGTTTGATGCTCTCCTCAAAGGAGTCTAGCTGTCGTTGTTTTGTTGAGTTAACTCCTTCGTCTTCAGTCGCTCTGATTGACTCCAATGTCTAAAGCCGCTCTAAGCAGTCTGTTGCTTCAGCCTCTGCCACGAACGTCTTGAGGGCGATCGTTTGCGTACAATGTACGTCGTGAACTGTTGCTCTCACGGGACCTTGGATACTCCATCCGAATGCGGTCTCGACCGCTCTTAGTTTCTCCTTTAGTGGTTTGGATTTCGCCGTCACAAGGTTCCAGTAGTGCTCTGAGCCGATGAGAAGGTCAATATCACCACGTTGCTTGTTGTTAGTTGAGTCGGCCATCTTCAATTGCCCAAATAGTTTCTTCAGGTTGGGTTCGAGGATAGGGATCTTCTGATCGCATATCACGTCCGTTTCAAGAACTTCAAGCTTATGTATCTTGCCGCTTTGTGCCGTTAATGAAACCAGTACCCTGTTAAATACTTGTTCTGATTGGTGTCCGCCGAATACTCCGACAGTCAGTGTCCCCTGTCCCAAGATCTTGCACTCGAGACATTCGGACGCGTTCTTTGTAATGAACGAACGTTGGCTCCCTCTGTCAAAGAGAGCTCGGACGAACACCCCGTTGGTTTCTCCTACACACCAGATCGTTGCAGTCTGGAGAAGGACGGCTGGCCCGGCAACTTCGCTTGTGGCGGATTCCAGATTCACTGGGACGCTCGTTATCGCATTTCGGTTTGCTTTTACCTTGGTTGGCGTGTAGCCTGGGTCGCACATCGTTGTCGCATGCCGTCTCGAATACTTCGTGCATTGCATGCTGCTTCTGCATTCATTCGAGCGGTGATCAGGTTTCGTGCAACGGAAGCATTGTCTCTCCAAGCGCAGCAGTCTTTTCTTCTCTTCAATTGAAATGTCAGCAGGGCAGGCAGCTGTCGCGTGTTTTTTTTCTTTGCAGAAGAAACAGCTATCAGGTTTCGTTGATTGATGCAGTAATGCTGCGGAGGATTGATAGCGTTCTCTGGGACTTCCCTTCTTCTCGTTTTTCCTCTCTGCCCTTAATCCACGCGGCTGTTGCCTCGTGTCCATAGATTGTTGTGCAGCTAGGTTCTCGCGGCTCTGGACTTCGACTCTCAAAAAGGCAAGCAGTCGTGAGAATAGTGTCACGATACCTCGTTCAGTGGTGCTTGTCTCTGTTGGTCGTTCCTGAGAGTCGTGGACATCCCTCCGGCTGAAGCGCCCAGCGTCAACACGTCCGATGCCTGCTCGTTCACGATCGTTCTGTTAAAATCCAGCAGGATTTCCTTTGGCAGTGCACGCTGAACCACTGGAAACAAAAGAGCACCGAAGGTCTGATGCTTCTCTCCGAGTGCCTCCAGTCCTCGGAGATGGGAGATGATGGTGTCGTAGAGTCGACGGAGACTCCGGACGTCGTCGGAGATGGGAGATGATGGTGTCGTAGAGTCGACAAAGACTCCGGACGTCGTCGGTGTCTCGCACTGGCTGTAGATCTAGGAGCTTCCGCATGTGTGTCTGAACGAGGACGTCCTCACTTCCGAAGCGTTTCTTCAGCAGAAGCACGACGTCCTCGTAGCACCGTGATGTGGGAGGCAAACTTCTGATGGCACTTGACGCCTCGCCAGTCACCGCAGCCCTGAGGTACCCGAACTTGTCCAAAGTCGTTAGCTGGTCGTTGGTGTGTATTACTTGCTCGAACTGCTCCCACAACTCTTGCAAAGAGATGCTTTTGCCTTCAAACTTGTGTAGCTCGAGCTTCGGGAGCTTCACTCGGCAGGCAGTCGTTGTCGCGTTTCCGTTGTTGCTCATCGGGGATGAATCCAAATTTCGTAGTGCCGTTGCTCGGACTTCCTTCAGCTCTTCCTGAAGTGTTGCAATACAGGTGACGACCCAATCATTGTATTCAATTGTTCACACAAAGTTTTGCTCAGCTTCTCCTTCTGGCACCAGTGGCTCGATGGCGGCGTCCACCTCGTTCAGTTGGGCTTGGAGGGCGTCAAGCCTTGCGGAGGAGAGGCTGAGGTTCTTTTCGTTTTTTTCATTGCTTTCGATGTACGAATCAATTTCAGAAAGGAGTTTGGTCACCTGTGTTCACAGTGCAGTTTGTTTCCCCTTGAGTCGTTCCATGATCCGGAGCTCGTTTCCTCAGCCGTTGGCGAATCCAAGATGGCTATCCAAGATGGCTCTTGCCTTCTTCTCGTTCGTCGTTTTCACTTTCCAGTCGTTGGATGTTCTGCGTTGAAGTCATGTCCTAATTTCCTTCATTCCCGAGTTTCGGCACCAACTTTTAACAGTGTGGAATTAGGAAAAGGACTCGTTCGTTTTTAGAGTAACAGAACATGGTTTATTATATTGAAAACTCATTTAAGTAAAGTTAGAGAAGGCACGTCCTCCTTCGACCGTCGTTCCAACAAGAAGGGAGAAGTCGCTTGCACCAAGCGTCGGTCCAAGAGGGGGGCTCGTCGTTTATGACCCCACGGTGGGGCGCGCTCTCCCCGCGGCTTTCCGTCCCTCTCCCCGGTTTCCCGGAAAGGGGCTGGTGCCTTGGTTTCTGCTCGTCTTCGAAGTCGTTTTTCCTTCCCTCTTCCCGGCTCGGGCATCTCCACGTTTTCTTCTTTTTATTTTACAACACAAACAGCATAGCACTGAAAACACTAACCCCTTTGGTTTTTAAATGAAGATGTTTTACTCACTCAACCATTGTTTAAGTAGCCATTGTAAATAAAACTTACTGTTACTAGAACACCTTATTTCTAAAAAGAAGGCTCTGTGTTCCTTTTTCACCTTATCTATTTTTATTACAAAAGGTAATAAGTAATAAGGTCCTTAAAGATACCCTCAGTCATTATCATACAGTAAATGAACTTTTTAAGCGATGCAGTAACTTTCTCATTTTCGAGTGATGTGCTAACAGATGTTGGCATCTGCTTCAAAAGCATCAGTGGCGGCTCCAAACTAGTATTTTGCCTGCTACAGAACCTGCTACAAAAGGCCAAATGCCGCTTAAATCACTGCATTTGAAATATGTGCAAGGGACATACCTAAAAGATCCCCCCCCAGGAAATAGCTGAGCTCTCTGAACCAACTGAGGTGCTCTGCATCAGTGGCTTTTCCGGGCACACTGCTGCAAAGTGGTGAAGCTTTAATCGCATGCTCTGGTGCGAAGCCTGATGTGAGATGGCAGGCATAAAATGACTTTGATGAGAGCAGCATGGATGCCTTAAGCATTAGAAGTTCCGTCGGACCCCTATAACGCTCATATATTGTTATGTTTGATCGAGCAGAGGCTACCTTACCATGTGCCCTTTCTGCTTTTCCAATGTCACTCCTAAGTAGCACCCATCCCCTATTTTTCATGATTATCTCAAACTTTCGGGTGGGCACTTGCTCACTGTCTTGCAGTATGTATTATATTTTGTGACAGTAACTGTTCTCTTAAACTCACACTTCCCTGTTTTATATCTAATCAAGCTCATACTCTGAGTATTTCAGAATGTTTTTGAAGCCAATGTTTGTGATCAGATTTGTTAGCTTGATGGACTTGGCCCAGTCATGTGTGATGTCATTAGAAAAGGTTTCATTATATCATGCATGGGCACTGATGGAGAGAAATACACTAGAAAATGAATCTTGGTTTCTTTTAGTGCACTGGATAGCCGTTTGTCAAGACTACAATTCATACCTACATTTAGTAAGGTGTATGTTAAAGTGAGGAATTGTAATGTCAATGTCCAAGGCAAAAGATGTGCACCAAGGGCCATTATGCTAGTGCATGCTTTGCCGAGAACCACTGGATCTGTGTTACTAAATAATAAGTTTTATGCAAGCTTTTTTTTTTTCTTTTTTTTTGCAGACATTTGAGGGCCATGAGTGCTCTGTACTGAAGGTAATCTTCCTAAGCCATGGAATGCAATTGCTTTCAAGGTATGTGCATTTACATCATTCCATGGACAATGCGATAGCTTAAAGAGTTTTGACATACTTCAGTGGATACTCTAAACGACTAAATTTTTGCAAAGACCTAAATTTCGCGAATCGCCTACAATTCGCAAAAAATATGTACCGCAAACAATTCGGACAGTATGTGAACGCTACGGAAGCTACACTCGATTTGCGAAAATTAGAACCCGCGAATAATTTCGAAATTTCAGCTTTGGCCCGAGTCGCGAAAATTTGAGCCCACGAAAATTAAGTTGTTTACAGTACGCTTTTTGTGCAGTCATTTTACAGAAATTATATTTTCAGGTTAAATAAACTGTCATGTATCCGCTGGCGGCCAAGAGATGGCGTCACCGGGCACACGCGCTTATCCCGCGCTTTTCAAGAGCACGGACCTGGGCACGGGACGGGTGCTCGGGCATTGCAATTCCAGGCGCCATTAAAATCACATCTGGACGCTCCTCGGTGTCGTGGCTTGAGCTTCGCCCGGGATACATAACATTTTGGCGACGAGTCGGTCAACATACAAGAACTACAGCGGGAACAATGACCACCCAAGGCAAGCTGGAAGAATTCAACCTGACAGCTTGGACGTCCTGGGCCGATCGTTTTGGTTTCTACTGCGAGGCAAACGAGATAGCTGAGCCTTCAAAGAAGAGGGCTCTACTGCTTACGCTTTGCGGAGCACAGACATACGAAGTAGTGCGAGCACTCGTTGCACCGAGGACACCAGGAAGCGTCCCTTTCGACGAACTCATGGAGATGCTGCAGAAGCACTTCGACCCCCGGCCGTCAGAGCTCTTCAGCAGAACAAAGTTCCAGCGGAGAGACCAGCAGCCCGGGGAGTCCATTGCAACCTACGCGGCAGCTCTAAAGAAGTTAGCCGCTGACTGCAATTTCGGGATACTGGCGACACAGACGGCTGCGCCATCGCCCAGCTCCACCGGCGTGGTTTCGGCCGCTACTGGAACGACCGCCAACCCCGCCAGCGCGGACGCCCCTGGAACTCCGGTCACCGTGAGTCCACCAGTACCCAACCCTACCATGCTGCCTCTGGACGTAATGCTCAGGGATCGGTTCGTGTGTGGCATAATGGATGAGCACCTACAGCAACGTCTCTTTGCGGAAACCAACCTGACGTTTAAAAAAGCATACGACATGGCTGTGAGGACAGAAGGTGCGGCACAACATCAAAGGGACATGAAAGCCCAAAAATCGGAAATTTACGCAGTTAAAAAAGCACAATTACCTCCTGCGCACCTGGAACAGAAGGAGAAAAGACAGTCAGTACCACTGACATGTTACCGATGCCTAGAACAGCATTCGGCCTTCTCGTGCCAGTCCCGAAATACACGATGTAACTTCTGCCACAAGAAGGGGCATGTCGCAAAGGCTTGTTTCAAGAAGTCAAGGGTGCATCACCAATCGCAGACGACACACCACGTGGAACAACACGAGGAAACTCTGCATTCTGATGATGATCTTTCGGACAAGTCATGGAACCTGCACGAGCTGAATGCAGTACGGGCATCCAGCACGCTGCCAAAGTTCATGGTCACCCTGAAGATCAACAACCGCGAGCTGGAATTGGAGGTCGACTCGGGAGCTGCTTGCTCAATCATTAGCGAAGCCACGTATCGTCGGTTGTGGCCCAAGAACCCTCCAACGTTGAACCAGGACGGGCTGACCCTTCATACTTGGTCAGGCGAGGGTTTACAAGTCCTTGGAACGGCGAACGTGCATGTCCGACATAAGTCTAAAGACTACATCTTGCCATTGGTCGTCACCCGCGGAACAGGCTGCAGTCTTCTGGGAAGAAACTGGTTTCAAGACCTCAAGATTCGGGTCAGTGGAATTCACCATCTAGCCACCAAGGACAGCGTTGCGAATATTTTGAAGGCTCATGAGGATGTTTTTGACGCCAACATCAGGGGGCATAGTGGTCCACCAGTAAACCTGGAACTAAAAGAGGGCGCTACTCCTCATTTCCTCAAATCACGACCCGTGCCGTTCGCACTACGTCCGGCGGTAGAGGCCGAATTGAAAAGTCTCGAGAGCCAAGGTATTTTAGAACCAACACAGCATTCCGAGTGGGCTACACCTGTGGTGGTGGTCCGGAAGAAAGACGGGACCATTCGACTATGCGGTGACTATCGAAGTACAGTAAACAAGGAAGCGAAAACAACCGTGTATCCTATGCCAACAATTTCAGAAATCCTAACCAATTTGCAAGGAGGATTGGTATTTTCTACTCTAGACCTCACGCAAGCGTATCAGCAGCTACGGTTGACAAGAGATACAGCTGATCTGTTAACCATTAACACTATAAAAGGCCTATACAGAGTCAAGAGGATGCCGTTTGGGATCGCCGTGGCACCAGCAATTTTCCAGCGATTCATGGAAACAGTACTTGCTGGAATTCCGGGGATCGGGGTATACCTCGATGACGTGATCATCAGCGGTGCGACCGCAGCCGAACACCTGACTCGACTGGACACAGTACTGACGCGACTCGCTCAGGCTGGACTTCGACTCAAGAGATGTAAGTGTCGTTTTGCGGTTGAACGAGTAGAATACCTCGGCCACACCATTGATGCTGCTGGAATACACCCGACAGATGAAAAACTGAAAGCCATCAAGGAAATGCCCGAGCCAACATGCCGAACAACGCTACAATCGTTTCTGGGACTTTTAGCCTTTTACGACCGGTTTTTGGCAAACCGGGCAACAATTGCAAAGGACCTCTATGCACTGCTGGAGAAGGACGTCCCTTGGACATGGCAAGAAAAGCATCGGCAAGCTTTTCGACAGTTAAAGCATGCCATCGCACAGCGAACTGTTCTCGCGCATTACGACGAGAACAAAAGCCTGATTGTGTCATGTGACGCATCACCCTACGGCGTGGGAGCGGTATTAGCTCAACTCGATGCCGATGGCAACGAAGCTCCAATCGTTTTCACCTCGAGAACGCTCGGCAGAGCCGAAAAGAATTACTCACAGTTGGATCGTGAGGGGCTGGCAATTGTTTTCGCCATGGACCGTTTTCATCGCTACGTCGCGGGACGTTACGTGACGATTACAACAGACCATCAACCGCTGTTGGGGACCATGGCCCAAAAATCTCCAGTACCAACTGTGCTTTCGCCACGGATGACACGCTGGTGTGTTAAGCTGACCGCTTACGATTATAATATGATCTACAGGGCACGAAAACGGAATCAAAACGCCGATGCTTTAAGCGGACTGCCATTGCCGGAAGCTGACGACGAGCAACATCCTCCAGGCGATGTCTTGATGTTGGAAGCTCTCACGAAACCTCCCATGACTGCAACAGAACTGGCGGACAACACAGCAAAGGATCCCATACTTGCTAAGGTGTTCCAAGCGGTCAAACATGGCGAAGTGAGAAAGCTGGACGGTGATCGCTTCGTCGCATACAAGCTCAAGGCAGCAGAATTGTCAATTCATCGTGGTTGTCTCATCTGGGGATCGATTTTGCCGGGCCGATCGAGGGACAAGTCTACTTTATAATTGTTGACGCGTATTCCAAATGGCTAGAAGTTCGCGCAGTTCGGAATATGGCGTCGTCTACGGTTATTTCAGAACTGCGCAGCGTGTTTGCAACCTTTGGCATACCACGGAAAGTAATGTCCAACAACGGGACCGCCTTTGTATGGGAAGAAATTAAGAGCTTTTACTCCTCCAACGGCATCGCAGCGGTCACTAGCGCCCCTTATCACCCTGCAACTAACGGCCAAGCTGAACGAATGGTCCAGCAGTTAAAGAAGGCGTTGGCGAAGGGCGGAAAAGGAACGTTGGACTGTACGTTGGCACGCTTTTTATACAAGCAGCACACTACCGTACACACAGCGACGGGAAAAACTCCCGCGTGGATGCTACTTGGCCGCGAGTTGCCGTCTCCGCTCGAGAGACTCCTCCACGGACCCAACTATGAACCCACGAGTTCGACAGTCCCGGAAGCATTTTTGGTGGGACAAGCAGTGTGAATTCGCAAGTTTCCAAGTGGACGCACATGGATGGCGGGTACCATCACTAGACGCCTGGGCCCTCGGTCGTGGATGATCGACACCGATCAGGGGCAGACACGGCGACATATGGAACATATACGACCTAGAAGTTCCATGCCACCGCGCAGAACGACTACTACACCTTCACCTGTGTGGGACTTGGCCATGGAGCCTTGCGAGGTGTCAATCACCCCTCAAGGGCCGGCTACTACTCCTACACAACCTACAGGACCTTCATGTTCCACCCAGCCGATCATACGCACCAGCACTCGCGTGCGACGGCCGCCAGAAAGATTCGGTTTCTCAGCCAAGTGAGGGGGAAGTGTCATGTATCCGCTGGCAGCCAAGAGATGGCGTCACCGGGCACACGCGCTTATCCCGCGCTTTTCAAGAGCACGGACCTGGGCACGGGACGGGTGCTCGGGCATTGCAATTCCAGGCGCCATTAAAATCACATCTGGACGCTCCTCGGTGTCGTGGCTTGAGCTTCGCCCGGGATACATAACATAAACTATTGGGTGTAAAAGTGGGAGGGGACAGGGGCTTTGCACTATGATTCATTTTTTCAACCATTTTGTAAGTACCCGTTGTAAATGGAACCTACCGTAGAATACCGTGCATCCGCCCATACCACACTAAGCGCCCATTCCCAGATTTGTAAGATCTGAGAAAATATGCGCAGTACATTGATATGTGAAATTGACGACCGGACAAGCGCCGACCTTCCATTTTTTTGCGATTATCTCTAAATTTTGAGTGGGCGCTTACCTGGTATTTTGCGGTACTCTGACCAGAACCTTATTTCTAAAAAAATAGGCTCTGTTCTTTTTGAATGCTATCTATTTTTATTGCAAAATGTAATAAGTAATATGGTCCAAAGAGACACCCTCAATTATTATCATAGATGAAATTTTTAAGCGATGCAATTGCTTTTTCACTTTAAAATTATGTGCTGACCAGGGTGTTGAACTGGAACCGGAATTGAACCACTTATTTTGCCCGAACCGAAATGTTTGACAGCATTTTGGAGCTGAACTTGAACCAGAGCAAAACAAAAGAACCGTTCAGAACCGGTTCGCTAAGCAATCCGGGCGTGCATTCGTGCTACTCTTCCGTGCGCTGTGCGCTTGAAATTTTGATAGGGTTAGGTTGCGCTGCTATGCAAGCTGTTTCCATTTATGTAAATATTTTTTAAAGCATATTTTACAAATATGAGGGTCAATAACTGCCGTTATAGACTATTGCAAAATCCGCCTGAGCCGCTCAAAGTCATTGCACCCACGCGCCTGGCAAAAAGCCGCCGCCACGTGCCCATGGGATGACGCATCGAGCCGCCGCGGAAACAACAATGCAGCATCGAATTCGGGTTCACTACAGTTGATCGAACTCCATTTCATCAAAACATGTTTTAGAGAACGGGCTCGTTTTAGAGAAAGAGAAGCCTGTTTAGAGAAATTCCGTTTATCGAAAAGGGAACGCTATTTAAAAATAGGATCCCCTACTTCGCGTATGTATCACTAGCATACAAATCTCCTGGCTCGGTCGTGGCAAGATCCGACCGGTTCAAATCGTAAGAGGAAAATGCGCATGAGTACAGTGGCACCTCAGATGGTACCTCCTACCTCGAAGGAATAGGAGCGTTTACTTTTTCAGATGAGGGACTTCTTCTTCAAGGAGTGAGGTGTGCTGCGCACACGCCTGCAGATCGCTGTACATGACACTCTCAAGTCTACAGCTGCTAGCGGCATCGTACAGAAGGCACTAAAAGTTGGGGAAAAAATGAGGTTGCAGACTGTGCTGTCCCTGCTTCGGAAGCTCAATCTGAAGAAGCCCATCCTGGATTGCATAACGAGGTGGACGTCCACCGGGACCATGGTGCGACAATTGCTGGAGCTGAGAGAGTTTTGCGACGAGTTTGTTGCAGACCGATGATGAACACCACCTTACTTAAGAAGACTGGCAACCAATAAGCAACGTAGGCCTCCCTGGGGCCGGCCGGGAAAGCAACAGTGCAGCTTCAGTGGGAGCAACTAATTTTAGGGGTCTTCTATGGAGCATGACTCATATGTCACATTGAGTTGTCAAAAATTGGCACCCTGGTCGCGAAGCAGCTGGCCGCTGCCATGAAAAGGCGAGAGAAGGTGTTACTCGGAAGCGACATATTCTGTGTGGATATATTTCTGGATCCTCGACACCATGTCATGCTAACAAGCCAGGAGAGGTCCAGAGCAAAGCAGCATCTGCTACTGGCATGGAGGAAGCTTTGCGCACTTAAAGAACATGCCCAGCTTCAGCAACCTCAAGCACCGTGCACAACAGGGAGTTCCACTTGCGCTGATAACGTCCTCGAAGCGTTCCTCATGGAAAAGGAAAATGGCTGCCTGAAAGCATTTAGCGACCATTCTTCTATCTTTGGGGAGATGCAGACCCTACTGGACGGCTTTGAAAAGGTGCCCCGAATTAACAAAGGTAGCAGTGTCTTGGAATTTTGGGAAAAGGAAGAGTCCTGGTGCCCCGAATTATATTTGCTTGCACTCGTTGCTCTTGCAGTATCAGCCATGCAAGTCAGCATGGAAAGGTCCTTCTCGGGGTTAAATTACATCCTATCATGCCAATGAACGCGATTGAGCCCGGACATATTAAATAATGTCCTTTTCCTCCGGTCATTTCACGCTGCCAAGGCAGAGCATACACATCAGTAAAATTAATAAGGCGTGCGCACATAACAATTTTGGAGAGGCACTCGTCTATTTTTGCAGTAGATATATTTATTTTGTGTTTGGTGAATAAAAGGTTGGTACCCAGTCCCATGTTACGTCTTGAAGTTTTGAAGATCATTTCTATAAACCAGATGGAGTACACAAAATCAATAAATGAGTGCTTATTTTATACCGTAGTAATGCACTTTATGGCAGTAGAGGTGTGTGAATATTCGGTTAAATTTTTCACTTTTCCTTGAACCGTTATATGAATTGGTTGAAACTGATTCAAACCATTATTTTTTCTGCTTTGGAGCTGAACCTGAACCGAACCGAAATGTGAACCGTAACCTGAACCGAACCAAAAAGAGTTTCGGTTCGACACCCTGGTCCTAGCAGATGTTGGCGTCTGCTCTAAAAGCATCAGTGGCTGCTCCAAACCAGCTTTAACGCAATAGTGCTGAGGAGCTTGTGTCGCAGAAAAGCCAGCGGCGTTGTGACAGGAAAATCGTGGTTGTGCTATAGGGTCGTGACATCACAGCCACGTGACTTCGCGCAGGAATTTCAAACAGCCCACAATGCTCATGTGAAGCATGACGTCACAAGTGGAATGAAAGGGATTAAAACTTGACATGTAATGTGAATTGAAGGTCGCTGCATGTCTCAGATGATTCCACTTTATAAAGTAATTAATTTGCCTTAAAGAAAAAATTTCAAGCATTTAAGGCGCACAACTCTTCGGTTGCAAATCAGACCCGCTACTGACTAGTCCATGTCTGCCGCACTTCACGCTCACTCGCAGGAAGATCATGAGAAGTGAATGAAAAGGCAATGCGAACGGACCTATTTCACATTGTCCACATTTCCGTGGACAATGTGATAGGTTAAAGAGTTTCTACTGTTATAAATTTTCATGTATATGTCTGTACAGCACCTTCATTTTTATAAGGCATGGCTTCTTCCTCAAATGGAAGAACTCGCTATTTTGCACATACTTACATTTCCACTACTGACGCCACTAATTTTCTGACTAGCCATGTGTAACATCTCAGCTAGCTGTATTACTTGAAGTGTGTTTGTATATACACTATCTCATGTGATATTTAATTTAGTTTTATTGGGAAAATTATCATAGCTTTTAGTCCATGTTTAGCCATGTTCATTGCTATAAACGCACCTGACAACTTTAATTTTCACTAAAGTAAACATGGACTTGACATCTGAATGTTTGATGTCTCTGGTTGCAGTGGGGCAGATGGAAATTTGAAGCTGTGGAATGTGAATGCCAACGAGTGTGTGCAGACGTTGGACGAACACCAGGACAAAGTGTGGGCCGTGACGGCCAATGCGGACGAGTCCTTACTCGTCACAGGTGCCGCCGACTCTGCCATTCTGGTCTGGAAGGTGGGTGGGCACTTCTGCATCCTCGTTCTCTGTCCAAGTTCTGGGGAATTGCTCAAATGGGGCTGTTGACAGAGAATGTTAATGTGTGTGCAGTGTGCCTTACATGCTGCTTTTAATGAAAGTTATGCGGAGTGCAAGTTTGTCTGCTTCTTGCACAGGGGTTGCAATGATGTCAGAACGCCAAGCTCTTATTGCCTGAATGAAAAAAATAGTGGGTAGTCCTCAAGACATGGTCTACCCACTATCCTTTCAATCAAAGCCAATAAAAACTGCATTGTTCTGATGTCACCACAACTCCTGCGCAAGAAGTAGACGACTTGCTCTCCGCACTGTTTCTAAGCTGAAAGGTTTATTCAAATTATGGGAAGCAATGGGTGGTAAGCAGTCATTGCAACTGGTAACACTTCTCAGTATCATGAAAGAGTCTGACCTGTCCATCAATGTAGGATTACATTATAGCATCTTTTGTTACATACATAAATGGCGGCATTTTTTTTTCTTTGTCAGGGTTTCAAGCTAAGCTGAATCCTAGACTACAAACCTAATTGTGGTCTAATTGTAGCCCCGTGCCAAGGCTTTTTATGGACAAAAGTTTAGAGAATAAAGGCTCTCGCGATAATTCACTTGTTTTAGGTACGGCAGATTTCAAAACATAATTGTGATATGATAAATTGGATGCTAATTAATTTTTTCTAAGTTTAACTTTAGTCGAGCTTTGGCTGCACATGCGACAAAGTGCTATCAAAGGCAGAAAGCTCGTGCTTAAAGCAGAGCATCTACTGGGTTCTTAACCTGTCACTGACTATAGCTGGTAGTGTTGTGTGAATATTCGAATTTTCAAATGTTAGTTTCGAATATGCTATTTGCTTTGTGTTGAACTGCTGTACTCATTTAAGTGTTGATTGTGGTGAGTTAGCCCTGTTGAGTGCGCTTTTCACCGAACCCCTGGGCACTGTGAGCAAGCAGTACTCTTGGAGCTCGCAGGTTCCACGGGTATTGCTTCCCTGCAGTGCACAAGTGCTGGGTGAGAAGCGCACTTAACGGGGCTAATTGATGCGATTATGCCAGCGCATGTGTTAGGTTGTCTTGACAACCTGTGCTCATCATTCATGCTGTTTTTTTTGTTGTAATAATTGAAGAAAGAATATTTTCATCTAGCAAGCAGATTTAGAAATCTCCGTTATCATAGCTGTAACAATTATGTCATAAATATAATTATGTCGTAGATATAGCTATATTAAAATTATTGGAGCTTAGAAGTGGACAAGTAGAAGGTGGGAACAATCTTCACAAATCCAGCTGAATTTTCATTTCACAATGGTGCAAGGTAGCGAGAGGTTTAAAGAAACTATTCAATATTCAATTAGAAAATATTAGGCCAAAACCACTTTTCGCGTCGCATTGCTTTGAACTCAGAATCTACTATCTGTGCATGACTAACAGCTGGCAATATAAGGATTCATCAAAAGAGACATTGGCACCCCCAACTCCTACCCGCTGTTGCATATACTAGTCTGGTTTGCATTGTGTCATATAGATCCTCAATTGCTCACACAGCCTCATTTCTTTTTTTTAGGACTGCACTTCAGAAGAGCGACAGGAGACCCTGGCAAAGCAGGAGACTCTCATACTTCAGTAAGTGCAGCTGTGGATGTGCCGTCTGGAGAAATTTCAATTTATACCAATCTCAGTGTTTACAAATAACTGTTACATTCACTCCTTATTTCTTCCGATCTCCAGGGCAACACTTACTATATTGTTACTAGTATAAGTTCTTTATCCATAGATATGGGCAGTATCCATAGTAAGTTCATCTAAGCCCATATACACAAGGCGATCTATGGTAAAAATAGTTTGCCCTACTCTTTTTTCTTTTTTATTTTATTTTTGAGTCTTGGACAGAAAACAAAGGATTATGTGTGTAATGCGAACTCTTGGGCAAGTTGGTACTGAAACTTTGAAGCACAATCATGTTCTGAAAGATTATGTGTGAATTTTTTTTAATGTTCTGTAGCGTTATGATCCTACAGGGTTTTACAGACAGAGTACTCGGGAAAAACGAAGCAATCTGCCTTCTATTCTATGAACAATTTATTTTTATCAATTTGTAAAAAGTCACATCTCCAAAGATTGAGCGTGGTTCTATCAGAAATTATTATTTTCGAGGTTGGCAGTTCGAAAGTAGTTTGTTTGGATTGCATGCGGTATTTATGTTATCTGACTGAGGCATCTTGCGAGTTATTTCTTTTTTTTTTTTCTATATGCTGATCAATGGGAGTGGGAAGTAGCCTTTGTGCAAAGTTGGAGGGACACAGTCTATAGTAATAACAAAAGAAATGTTTTGAGGAGGCCTAGATGGGTCTCTGAAGATTTAGATTACTTGCCCATCACCTGGGAAAACACACGTTCTAATCTAACCTATCTCGAACCAGAAATTTGGGAAATGCTCAAATCTAGAGGCAAGCTTCACAGGTGTTGTAACATAAGTGAAGGAATATGGAGATGTTGGCACTTCTGCCCGATGGACATTATTAATATTCTTGTTTTAGAAAGAAATGCTTTATTGATTGGTTGGTTTATTTATTGCAGTGAGCAGCAGCTGAGCAACTTAGTCAAGGAGAAGAAGTGGACAAAGGCGCTCAAACTGGCTCTGACGCTTGAGCATCCTTTTAGGGCACTAACAATTATCAAAGGTAATGTTATCATTTTAGCTGCCCTTTGTGTAGCTTTCTAAGGCCAGGTTGCACATCTAATGTAGTCTTACGAGCCACTGTGAACAGATCTTAAAGGGGCGATGCAACAATTTTTCTAATTTTAATAAATACAGTTTATAATTATTCTTTGACATTTAGAAACTATGAAACACACATTGCTTTTTTCTTTATGCAGTGGCAGTCGCAAAAATGTCCGAAAAAAACAAACACTGTTTACCCTCTCAACTCGCAGCCAGAAAAAGTGGCCCCCGTAATCTGGAGCCGATTATATGCCGCCAATGTTTTTAACACAACCTCGCGTTGGTGTTGGCAGAGCACAGGGCGCACGCTGAGTTCCACGCATTTTAAAGGTTCAGCTATACCCGTCATACCAGCGATTAAGCACGAGACATTACCCGAATGCATGTCGAGGCATTTATTGTCACGAGCCAAAATTGCATGCCTACGCAGTTTTCGTCATTGTAGGAGCAGCATTCAAATATTGTCACAACGGGGATCGCAAAGCTTGATGACGCGCTCCTGGGGGTCGCATTGTTGGCATTGTCCCCACAGCTCGGTCATCAAGTTTTGCAAAGAAGAGACTGAAAGAAAAGGTCCGCTTTTATCCTTGGAATTCCACCGTGACGGGGACGCTTCTTGATCAGTGGCATTGCATTCGAGTATTCTTGGGTCCCATGAGTGCCACTAAGCTGGTGTAAAGTGAGAAACGTTCCTACCCAATATCGTTGCACAGCCCCTTTAAATTATCACAGTCTAGAAATGGCTTGTGTTTTTTTTGCTAACCATTAATTACACTTACCGTTGAGTTCCGAAAGAACGCCCACCCAAAATGAAGAGGTAAATAGTGAAAAACATGGGGTGGGCTATCCTTAAGGATGACACAGAAAAAATTTATCAAAAATTAGTGATAATCACTTTGGCACCGGCCACAAACCACGTAACTCAGGAACTGACACCGCAGATCGCGGACACTGTGATTTGCATTCCACGGTACGATAAACACGCGGGAATTCCCTATGACCTCCTGTGTCACGGCAAAGGATACTGCAGGTTACGGGCGCAGCAGATTCGCGTTTCATGGTGCGAAGGACCCGCAGAAACCTGCCTAGAACTCGCATCTCACGGTAATGAATAGCGCAAATCGTGGACACAGCAGATTCAAGTTTTATTATAAACACGCGGGAAATGCCACAAACATGCTTGTCACGGGAACTTATATCGCATGCGCACATCGCGGACGAAAATGCGGGAATCCGCTACAAACTTGTATGGTACGGGAACAAACATCGCTGATCGCGAACGCAGCAGAATCGTATTTCACGAAGCAATATACACGTGTGACCAACTCACGTGGAATCAAGATTGTGCGCGCAGATCGCGTACAAAAAAACTAGAATCCGCTACAAATTTTATGTCACGAGAACGGATACCCCAGATCGCGGACGCAGCAGATTCACATTTCACGGTGCAAGATACACGCGGGAACTACTCGCACGTTACGGGAGCCAATATCTCGCGTGCATATCGTGGACAAAAATAAAGGGAACCCACTGTGAACTTGCTTGTCAGACATGCCGGTAGATCAAATTGTGCAGTTTATGCGATTCCCGTCGGACATTGCATGACCTCCGACGGAAATCGGGGGTGGGCAATGTTTCGGAATTTCTATGTTACAGATACAGTCAAACCCGTTTATAACGAACAGCACGAAACGCTACAATCAGTTCGATATAGCGAAAACCACTTAAAGTCCAAAAATGAAGCTCCAACCAAAATTTGAAAGGCAACCCGACGTTTTCGGAGTTTAACTCTCACCCAACCAGGCAGATATCTGCCGAATATGTTTACTTTCAAAAACCATTTACAGCGAACTTCCACGATACTTTCGTTGTAAGGCGAGAGCTTCTCTTTCTTTCTCATCTCTTCGTTTCCGCCTTGTAACAATGCGCTGTAACTGTTTTTTTTTTGTATGCATGCAGTTTTTTTTTAGTTTATTTCCTTTTCTGAATTGCTTCTCTTCATGAGCAAACGCTTTGGGATGAAAAGTTTTTTTCTTTCACTCTGCGTGCTTGCAGTGTATTTTTTAGCTTTCTCCCCTTCTGAATCGCTTCTCTTCTTTCAAGTTTTTTCGCAACTTGAGCTCTTGGAATTTTCTTTCTTTTCTACTTGTTTTTTGGGCGAAGGGACAGGCTATAAGAGGATTGTTTGCGTGTTTTTGGAAGCTTGCCCGAGGGTAAAAAGTTTGATATAGCCAATAGGTTGTTCGTTATAAAAAGGACTTTTTACATGCATTTTTATTTAAATTTTCTGCGAGTTCGATATTGACAATAATTCGCTGTACGTGGGTTTGTTCTCAACGGGTTTCACTGTATTTAGCCAGAAAAACGGGATGGGCATTCTCTTGGAATTTTAAGGTAGTACTTATCTTGTCAAGGTAGTACTTATCTTGTCAAGGTAGTACTTATCTTGTCAAAAGCACACTGCTGCATGGCCAGATCTGTAGTACTATTGGAAAGATAGGTGTACATAATACTTTTAGCTTTCTTCTTTTTTCTTCTGCCAACCTTCAAAATTACTATAGCAGCCTAAAAAAAAATGGCTCGAGCTACACCTAAGCACTTCTTATGAGTTGTGAATGCGAAAGCATGCTCATCACGCTTCCTCTCCGCGTGTTGGCACGCTGTGTGTCCGGCGAATGGGGGCCTTGTCGGTGCGCGCCAGCCAATGGCACTGAAGTGTGAAAGGTGCCACTGACTAGCTTTGCACATGGCTTCATAGCTGGGAGTCAAGTTGACTTGGAGAAAGCTGTTGGGCGCGGTTTCAAAGCTGATGACGTCGACTCGCTCCATGAGACAGTTTATGCTTTCGCATTAAAAAGTAAACAGTGTTGCTGTTATGATTTTGTAATTTTAAGAGAAACAAACATTGCTGGCGTGTGAGTGGGTAATATGCTTCTTTTTCTAATGCAAAAGCATTAATTGTCCCATGAAGTGAGCCGACCTCATCAGCTTTGAAGCCGCGCCAAACAGTAGGTGAACTCCCTTCTCCCAATGGATAAAAGTGAAGCTGCAATCTGAAGGCTCCTAGCTTTGAAGCCGCGCAAAAAACACGCAAAACGACAGGTAAATTCACCTCTCCAAAAGGAGCTAAGTGAAGCCGAAATCTGATAAGATAGGCTTTCGGTGGCTGGTGCACATCATAGTTTCAAGGAGTGAGGCTCCCATCGGCCGGCGCACGTCAGTTTCAAAGAGCACCACCCCATGGCGCTGCAGACCTGCACCGCAGCGCGCTGGTAAAAGGCAGCAGCTGGCTGCGGGGCCTCCCAGAGCCTGCTCAGGCAGACTTTGAAGCAGCTGTACGGCCGATGTCAGCGCAGCGCAGCCACTTCACGAGGGTGTGCGCTTGGCCTGACGACATTCATGCATTCACATTTACAACTCATAAGAAGTACTTAGGTATCCCTCGAGCCTTTTTTAAAGGAGGTGCTCAGTGGGGTTCGACTGTTTGTGAGCATTGGTGTGGACTTGGACATCTTTCTCAGCAGTGTGCAGGAGTTTTCTTTAATGGTTTTGCAAAGGCAAAGAAAGGGGGTTCGTTTGTTGCCGGTTGGGCTGTCAAGTTTCCTAGGTTGGGGTGCCCACAACAGCTGTGAAATGAGCGACCATCCAGTCCTGGCTCCCAGGCAGAAAAAACGTCTTTATCTCGTCAGCCATCTGCACGTGTCTCGTGCCAGCCACGTCGCACGTGGGTCACTCAACAATCACCACATCTCCCTTTTTTTCAAAGCAGGGTAATTTACAACATATACAAAACAGCTAGCCAAGTTTAAACACACCACAAAGTAATTTAAAATTTATACAAAACTACTGGCCAAGTTTAAACACATCACAGAGTAATTTACAATATGTACAGAGAACCTGGTGAAGCCTAAATAGCACATTAGCTGTCGAACAACAACTCGGCCAACAAACATATATGGTGCAAAGTATTTGACAAAACTTCTGTTAGAGTTTAAATCCCACTTCTGGCACCATGTCGAGTTTCATAGGTTGGGGTGCCCACAACAGCTGTGAAATGAGCGACCATCCAGTCCAGGCTCCCAGGCAGAAAAAACGTCTTTAGTATCTCGTCAGCCATCCGCACGTGTCTCGTGCCAGCCACGTCGCACGTGGGTCACTCAACAATCACCACAGGGCCTTGTCCACCTGATTGTCATGTGGGATTGATGGTTGTTGGCGTCAGCATTATTTGAGGAGTTGTAACCTATATTAAGGAGACCCGTTTTTGGTCCCTAGTCTCAAGGTTTTTTTCACTATGATTTATTACTTCCTAGAAATGTTGTTGGAGGAAGACGGAGAAGAGAAACTCGGCAAGTCTCTGGCTCCTCTGAGAGAAGACCAAATAGGCAAGTTTTGCCCCACTTTATACTGAGTTGTGTAGAAGTGTATTCCTTACATAGTGTCAGTTCCTGCATATGCAAATTATTTCAGCATGTGAAAAATGTTTTTGTTTGTAAGCAACTCGAATTTTGCCTTTCTGGCTCATATTCTTGTATTCAGAACCATGGGTAAACTTTGGGAAGACTCGGCAACAACTTATAGAATGTTAATGCAGCCGTTAAAGTCTGACTGTTGCAAATTATTAGATGGAAATGTCTCATACTTCAATAAAACCTCAGTAGATTAAAGACTGATATTACAAAAATATGCACCTTATTGCATGATTATCTTCATGTGTGAAATTATTTAATTTCTACCTTTAGGAAAAGTAGGTTTAAACACTCGTCTAACAAATTTTTGTCGAAACATTTTCCAGGAACGCACACATTTGGTAGTGTATCAAGCGAGGTAGTGGCAATTGTTATTTCAACTGATCTTGCATGCTTTGTTGTGCACTTTGTGACACAGTTGGCCCCTAGTCCTGCACGCTGGTGATGTGCTGTCAAATTAGTTTGGTTAGGGTTCCTGATCTTTGGTATTGAGCTAAAAACAGATATATGTAAGATAGATGTATGCCAAATAATATTTTGGTGAATCAGTGTAAAAAGATAAACACCACAATTTCAATCAGCTTTATGGCATGTGTCATCATTTTATTCCTGATGCTAGGTAAATACTGCTGCTATGGTCACTGACAAGGTGAGAGCAGCAGGGAGGGGCTTCAGTAGTTTCGTCTCTAATGTGAGCTTTGTACCTTCCACAGCACCTATGTGTGGTGTGCACCTCGTGCATGCAGCCAAAGCACAGTGGAAGGCATGGGGCACACGCTGGAGGCCACCCACTCGGAAAACATGCCCTGCTGTTCTCATTCTGTCAGTGACTGTAGAGTCGATAGGAACGTAGACGCCTTCATGGACATGCAATGACAGGCTCATGAACTTACAAAAAACATTTCTTGCATTGTCACTGCCACACTCTCGCCTGCTTTTGTGCTCTGCTGGTTGCCAGTCTAAATCATTCTTTTCACCAATCTTATGTGCTGAAAGAGCACACACCAATAAAGGCAGACATTATATGCTGGAAGTAATTGCCAAAAACCACAGGCTCTACTGACGGTTAGCATCGAGCACCAAACTTCCCTGCAGAGAACAGTGTCGTATGTATCTGCCACACGTAAAATACTTGACGAACCAAGCATGAAACATTTGAGCTAACAGCATGGCACACACCACATTATGCCTGGTTTCGGCAGGGCCTTTCACTTCCATGCATTCGTAACGGGACGGGAGTTTTTAGAATCGTGCACCTCTCGCCCCGTCCGGACAGACGTGCTGCTGAGGTTTGCAGCCACCTGGAACACCAACAGCAAGCACAGTGCCGCGGCCCAGGCGGTGCTTGGCGTAGCGCTGCGGTCGCACCTGCCCGACGAACTGCTCCGGATGCCCAACAGCAGGAGCACCCTGGAGGCTCTGCTTCCTTACACGGGTAAGTACTGGACAAGCCCGGCTGATACCGTTCCCGGTATCATGACCTCCGAGATCCCGAAGCGCGCGAACGCTTCTCCGGCCGTCCCATTCGTGCAGCGAGGGCTTAATCGGAAAAAGAGAAGGAGGCGGCGTCTCTCCGCGGGGAGGCGCTCTCAACCCAGTCAACGACAGCATGGCGCGAGGCGGAAGAGTTCAAGTAAAAGTTTTGTTACGTCGAGTTACTGCAACTTATACTTACAAATTATTGTGTATTGCAGTAGAACGTTGAACAGCTGCTCTGGAGATGTAGATAGAAAATTTGTGATTCTTATTTAATTATTTAATTTGAGATATTCATCTGGACATGTTGCGGCGAGCGCTACAAGCGCGACTTGATATATTTGATTGCAATCTGTAACACGTCTAAAACTAAAAAAAAAAAGCTCTGCACATGAAAAAAATTGTGTATTTCCCTAAATAAAATTGATAGTGCTGCAATCTTTTTTTCTTTTTTTTTTTTACCCTTGCACATTGTTTGGCGTAGCTTTTTGAGCCTCACGAGGTTTGATGCTATGTAGCAGTGGTCTCAAACTCATTTGGGTGTGGGGGCCAGATAGCCCACATTCGGAAGGTCTAGGGTTAACATAAGGCGGGGGGGGGGGGGGTTCAAAAGAGGTTAAAGAGAAGAGACCTTGTGCTGGTATGCTTTTTGTAAAATCACAGTTCTGCCAGTCACATCTTTAGATTTGATTTGTTTATATGACTACTTTCGACCGTGACTTGGCGTGATAAAGGGATTCAAATGATACCCGCCAACGTTCTGCCATTTTTACTAGAACAAGAGAGCAAGTACACTGTCGTTCCCATTTCTCAATTCACTCAGGAATTAATCAAGGCATTACTCTAAAAAGCAATTTTGGCAGTTATTTTTTTTCTGGAGATTTTTATTACAACACTCCAGACACACACTCGTCTTTTAATGGTGACATTTTTTTTTTTTTTTTTTTAAGGCAAGAATCTTGAGGGTGAAGCTTTATCTTTGGCAGTTGCTCCTGCGGATCAAAAGTTCGTGCAGCCGAGATTTATCCTTCAACGAACAGCTTGCGCTTGCTGTCTAGAAGCGGAATTGTTGTACATTACAAAAAGCTGGGGGGGCAAGAAATAAAGCAAAACAAAGGGCAAATGAACAGAGATAAGTCTAAACTATTAGAATACGTTAAAAAAGCAGAGCTACTTTTCGAGTGAAAGTAATCGACGAGATGAGATCACTATGGTGCATGCCGATTCTAGTGCTCGAGGCATGGGAACCGGGATTCGTAGCCGGTTGCCGGTGGGCCACGTCCCAGCGAGTTGCGGGCCCGCGTGGTTTCAGACCCCTTCTATATTGTGAAGTCCGTGTTGTTCTTCTATTCTCTTTTGGGGGGGTTATCCCCAGGTCCCCACCGCTTCCCTAAAATTTGACCAATGAATATAGTTAATAGACCGATACCATCAAGCGAACTGCGCAGGCGCGCGCATTCCGGAAGTATTACCGCCGCCATGCTTCTTGTAGTCATCGCTCTCCGGCTTCCCGGCTGAAAAGGGCTCATGTGGGCATACATCATAGTTTGGGAAGCCCTGGTGTTAGCTTGGATTCTCCTGCATATCAGTAGTTTATAAGATTGTGTCGTGTGTGATGTCTTAGTTTGTCATCAGGCGCAAAAAAAGTTTCAGTCGTCTTATCGCTTTAGAATCGCTTTGTCGTCTGCTTCGTCGTCGTCCGCTTCTTCGCCTTCGTGAACGCGCGTGAACCCACTGCGTTCGCGCTGTGGTCTTACTGCAACAGCGGGAAAAACAACGAGGCCCCTTCTCCCTCGAGCACTCCGGGTGCTCCTACGTCTCAATAAACTTGGAAGCAAGTGAATATCTACCTCAACGTGAAAGAGCACAAAATTCGAGGGACCATCGGCTCGGTGTAGCACCGCGGAACAGCGTCAAACGTGTCGGTGAAACACTGAGCTATGTTGTGCGCAGGCTTGGGCATAACTTTTATTCGACAATGAAGTAAGACGAGCTCAATAGACATTCTCGGAGAGCAATAGTTTTCTAAAACTCGTTCTATTCTGGTTGAGAGCCTTTGCGACAGGGAACATATGAACTGCTGGGGGGGAAGCGTGCACACAAAGAAACGATCTACAAAAAGAATCTGCCTGACGAGCCGTAACAACTCGCATTTGTCAAAATGAAACGTAACCATGAGAGATGCCTGAGAACTTCGGGTAGAGATGAGCTCTTGTGTACAGTTTCTATTCAATTTTATTTGGTTTGCTCAAGCTCCGAACGGTAAGAGCTGACCGACGGAGAATGCTTTTTCCGCTGTGTCGATTGGTGTTAATACAGAATGGATCAGTAACGCCAGCAAAATCAGGTTGTGGCATAATAGCCCACTAAAAAAAATTAAGTCTGACATTGAAAAAGCCGTTTTATTTCAAGTTATATTTATATGCATACTGAGAATCGCTGCTCTTTCTTCGGTGATTGTACTGATCTTTTGAAGCACAGTTGTGCTCAAAACATGTCGTATCAATAACAGTTGTAACCACCAAAATGCATCAACCAAACATTGTATTAAAAACGGTCGCCGCAAGGCAGTGTGGAAGTTCCGATATGCCGCTACGGAGCGAGTGCTCTGAAAGATTCCAACGTACGGAACACTTTGGTACGCCCTACTACGTCTCATGCCCTGAGTAAGCTTACACTCTTTAGTTATCGTGCAATGGGGTGAATATAAATTGTGAATCAAATACCGAAACAAATCTAAAAACGCTTTTTCCTGTCGCTCTTCTACCGCTCTCTTTACCTGTTTTAGACACTCTTTTCGTGGGCTGCTTTCTTCCGGGAAGACATAAAATCCGATACCTTTTTGCCTGGTGCTGTTATTGTAGCACCTTGACACAGAACGGGTAAAGACACCCATTAAAAACCGTGACTAAACGGCCGACTAAAAGTTTCGTGCTAACCTGAAAATTCCCAAACGCCGGACGTACAACGCGCCTTGACGCGGCCAGAAAACTGGGGAGAACTACAGGTACCAGAATGCACCGCGGCAGCGGTGGCGTCGTGCAACTCCTTGTGAGATCGGTCTATTGCGCGAAGATTCTGAACGTTACAATCGTTGCTCTTTTTAGGTATATCGTGCATTATATTTTGACAAAACTGTAAAATCTTTGGGTGTAGAAGATGTACAACAATCATTGTTTGAAAACGCTGTCTGATGGCGCCCCCAGGTGTCTGCTCTAAGGCGTAGAGAGAGGGGTGTGTCACGACCTTTGATTAGATTTTTACTAGGGAAATTCGCCGTCCATGAGTGTAATTTTAGGTTTTTAGGATGCTTTGAAACCTTAGAGTGAGTTATCACCATACGATCTCAGAATCCACTTGAGTGCCCCTTTACGGCATAATTTGACACTTTGTGCAGAGCGCCACTTCCAAAGGATCAGCCGCCTGAAGCAGCAAGCAATGTTCCTGGAGTATTTGTGGTGCAACATGAAAGTGGCAGGTGCAGACACAGAGTAAGCATTCTTTTACCGATCAGCAACTTCTGGCCGAAATATGCCACAGAGTTACCAGCTTATGACTTTTATAAACTGGTTGAAAAATTGATGTTGGACGAAAAGAAATGCAGTGGCACTTTGACGTACAGGATTTGTTTCTCATTAGTACACATTATCTTGCATTCCCATTACAGGTGTGAGTGGAACCACAAACCGTATAATCTATGTCCTTGTATTGACGGCATGTGCCGTTGCCGATGCGAATGTGCCTTTGGCACTTTTAGCATGGGAAAATTCATGTAAATTTTTGTAATGTTCAATGTGGCTCTCCTCCCACCCCAAATCTGCATAGTGGCTGCCCATTGTTGAGTCTGAACCCTTTGAAATGAAGTGTTGGCTAGGCCGCTTTCGTGCAAGAATAATTGAAAGCGCTGTTGCTTTTAACATGATTGTTCATATGTCCTTTTGTATCTTCAAAATGCCTAAGCACGTCATTGAAAGCCCTAGAATTCATTCATAAAAAATCTTGGAATAGGGCCAGTGTGTGGCCAATAAGTCATCTGCGCTGCTGAGTTAATTTGCTGCTTAGATGCAGGCTAGGCTAGTTGTGCAAAAGAATTTTGGTTTGCTCTCAACTCTTGAAACAAAGCGAAGTTTACGACGAGATTCATTTGGTCTGGTAGTAATTTCCTAGAGGTTAGTTTGCACAAAAGCATGGGAGAGTTTGCCGTGTACCAACATGGTATACTGTGCCACCCGCTCTTGCGAAGGCCCAGCTGCTGTTAACATTCTCGCAAAGCGGCCGACCTCAATGCCCAGTCTGCACCTGGGGTCGCATGCAAGAGGCTGCTGGAGCGGGACACTGCCCAGGTTTTAAATTATGTATTATTCCGAAATGTTCCTGGTGGGGACCTCCTGTTGGCTAATCCCACTTTTGATTGGCTACACATATCTTCTCTCTTAAATAGCTCTTACTTACATCTTTGCTTTCTTTTGCAGAATCGTAAACAGAACCGAGTGAGCCGCCCATCGGATCAACATGGGCCCGATCATTCATGCGTCTTTAGATCGTCATTTTTAATAAACCGTTGTACATTGATGTTATTATTAGTCCTTTTTCTTTCTCAAACAAGTTTTCTGGGCCTGTCAGATATTTACACCGCTTCTTACCTATGCTCCATTAATTCCTCAATAGAACTCTACTCTTTCACACTTTCTGTTCTTTTCTTTATTCAGGGGGCTGTAGTCCTGGGTGGTGCATAAAAACATAAATGTGGACATGTGAGGAACAATTTGGTGTCAAGTGGATTTACTATAAGATTTACCAAAGTTGCATAACTTTTGAATGCACAAACCAATTATTTTTTTAATCTGTCTTTTGGAAAGACTAGGTGTTTTCCAAGGTATGTAGCTGGAAAAGTTTGTAATCTTCCTAGACTCCAAGAGAGGTACCTTGCTCGTTCAAAAGCTGCATGACAATAGGGAATAGTGGCTCCCCGCATGGAATCTTTAGCTCTCCAACCTGAACTGCATCCACTTGGCTCATATTACCATACCCTGCACATGTGACCGCAGCCCTCCAACACAATTCGAAATATTACAATGACTCGGGCTCAAGGCAACTATTACGCCACGAAAAAAAATTGGAGGTTCAAAGAACATTCTTGCTGCCTAAAATGTAGGAGTAACAAGGCGGTGGTTACATGACAAACGGCGATGAAAGGAGAAAATTTGAGGGGCAGGTTTAGATGAAGAACACTTAATTAGGTGAAAGAGATTTTGAAAAAAGCTGTCACTTATCAGTGTTGCACCTGCATGCTAGTAAAGCTTGTAGCAGAAAACATTGTTCTTGCTTCATTGAGGATAATTGTGAGGACTGAAATGACAAAAGTGTGGTCCACTCTTGATCATATGAGCGATATACTAGATATAAGCAAGTATTTTAACTTTTGACATGTGCAAAATAAAGCGGCTATCAAAGAGAACAAGATAGTGTGTTATCTTTAAGAGTTTGTTTTCAAAAAAGCACCACTTGTCAAGTCACACAAGCCTTCGATGAGTCCAGTGGCTGCTGTGGTCTGGCGGTCACGGTAAGTTGACGTTTTGTTGCAAACAGACACGAAAAAAAGGAGCCGAAACAGCATGCCCACTCTTGGTAAACTCATTTATGTACACATATTGCAGGCCATAGTGTGCAGTTCCACAAAATTTATTGCACTTCTTTTTTGTGTGATTTTAATTGGTTGGTATCATAAATAAGAGTTGAAGAATGCACTCGAACTGGTTACATGAAGAATGCACGGTGGGTTTCACCACACGTATCAGCTCGTAGCAAAAGCTCTCAAACCAGGGGGGCTATGTTGCACGTTTTGGACTACCAGGAGACTAGGAAGAAGGAAGTGACGTCAACAACGCTCTTTGGATGTTGATTGGTGGAGTCGCTGATGACGCTTTGTGTGGTGCTGCTAACGTTGGGTGCTGCTAAGATACGTTCATTCACACCTACGTCACTTCTCCCTAGTCGCCTGGGAGTCCAAAACGTGCAACATAGCCCCCCAGTTCTATCAAGGAATGACTACCAAAAACATTTCACAGAACCCTATGCGGCGAGACGAGAGCGCGCCGGGACGTTAGAATGCCGAGCTCTGACCTAAAGCTAGCAGCCTTTGCCTCCACTGCACTCGTCAAACGCTTTAGAACTCGGAATGCCAGCGTCCGGCGTTTGGCTTTCACACTCGAACCCGTTCGACGAGTGCAGTGGAGACAAAGGCAGAGAGCTCTAGGTCAGAGCTTGGCGTTCTGACGCCCCCGTGCGCTTTCACCTCCTCCTCTTTTTCAGTTTTCATTCTTTTTTCCCACATATTCCCCTACGTATTTCCTAAATATTTCTTCACAACTTCCCATGGCCCCTAGGTGGGTCCGGACATTTCATTGAAGCCGTTTCATTGAACGCCATGTTATCGAAAGCCACTGCATTGAACGCCGTTTCATCGGAGCCGTTTGATTGAACGCCGCCAAGTTAGGCAGCAGTAACTTTGGATCTAGGAAATAGTTTTTTTTTATTCATTTATTTATAAATTCTGCAGACTCATGTTAGAGTCTTGTCTTAACCAGAAGAATTGGCAGACTTTATTTTTTCCCTACAGAGAGGGGAGCTAATAATGAGTGCCAAATATCCAAATTAAAAAAAAGAAAGGCGTGTCTTCGTTGTTTATTATTCGTCATCGGCAGAATCGTGGACCGGCTTTTCAACCTTTGTTCTTAGAAAGCAAGCTATTCTCCTAGGACATAATGGAAAATCAAGTAAATAGATAAATAATAAAAAAAAGACGCAGTGAAAAATAGTCCTTTCCGGGTCTTTCTTTTAGGCTTGAATAAGTAGGAAACAAAGTATCTAGTAAAATATAACCGCTTATCTTACATGGAAACAAAGTAACACTAAATACTGCCCACTGAAGTTCTTGTTATGTTCTATGATTGAGTAATCAAATTTTTGGTGAAATAGTGACCAGGGTACTAATTTTATTTCTGGTGATTCGACAGCAGCGTTGAAACAACTCGGACGAGAGAGAATAAATGACACAAAACACACTATAATACTCCAAAATTCGGTGAAGTAAAATTTGATGAAACGGTGTCAAGCGACTCGATGAAAGGGTGTTCGATGAATTGGCGTTCAATGAAAGGTCCACTTTTTCGATGAAATGGCGTTCGATGAAATGTACGGTATCCGGCCCTAGGGCTGAACAATAGCGCAGAACTGTAGCTGAACCGCTGAACCATGTGAATATTTACGCTATGCGTGAAAAACGAACCGAAACCTAGTAACCCAGAGTAGTGACTCAGTCGGGGTTTCAAAATGCTTTCGCGGAAGAGCATTAAAATTTATGCAAACATTTTAGTTTAAAATTAAAATTTATTTATTTAAACACTTGTTACTTTCCGCTAGTCTTTGGCGTCTAAAAATACCCTGGTGTCCTGGCCGCCAAGTTCGCAACCTTGGGTCCCTGTCTCCCTCTCTCCGGCATCTGCAAACGTACGCAAGCGTGATCTATCCTAGCAGCTCGCGTTCAAAAACACGTGGTCGCGGGGATGGGTCGTCCAGGTAATATTGCTTTTGTTTTACCATTTTTGTGTTTTCTAGCGGTAAACAGGCTCCAATTGGATACCTACAAAACATCTATGAAGTATAGAGGCGTGTAGCTTTAAGGAATTCAGGTTGTACGACTGGCTTCACTGCAAGGCACCTTGGTGCCTGCGGCGCGAAACCGTACTTGTTGATCTTTAGCTGCGTTAAGTCCATTTTTGTCACCGAGTCGGACCTTTATCGCCTTTGAAGCGTATTTTCGTCAAGTAAACGTTGTTGCATCAATTACACGTAGAGCGGTACGACGATGTCATGCCGGTGCCATGTGTTTTGGTGGGAGCGTGGTCGGACACCATTTTACCCCCGATAAGTGTTCTCGTCACCGTAACACGCCGACAAGAGCGCGCTTTCTTCTTCGCGAGAGCCAAGTAACAATTCTAGTGCTTATACTATGAAAAGTTAAGCGACTTTTCATAGTGTAGGTCATGACAACGTGAATCTCATCGCTTTTTTTTTTTTTTTTTATCATCATCGTTAGAATTTTTGTGTGGTGGCTATTTTGTAGATGATGTTCCCTTTGGGTTTTGTGTGCACGGTACGACTGGAATGACGGTTGCGATTCAAGCGCTGATGTCCTTGGCGTGCTCATAATGTCAACAAGCCAGACCAGTGCCCATACCTTGTCATCATATGCTTAGCACGGGTACAAGTGCTTTATTCGAATACGCGGACATATAACCGACCGGAGTTTTATAGAAGCGCACGACGACGACGTTTCATACAATTTCACTCTACTGAGCTTGGTAGCATAAGTGTATCTTATCAACTTTGTATCTCTGAGACATTTGAAGTTTTTCTTCTGTCTGTGCTGTCGTTTGCTCGAAAACTAATCACTGTGCTGCTTACATTTTCACCTGTACGGGAACACTTCATAACTTGCAAGCATCACCATTGCTGGGTGCTGACGGTTATGCGGAGCGCAAGGTTGTCTGCTTCTATGCAAGGGTTGCGATGATGTCAGAACTCCGAGCTCTTATTAGTTGATTGAAAAAAAAAAAAAAAGCGTAGACCTCAAGGCATCTAGCATTGAGGTCTACCCGCTATCCTTTCAGTCAAAGCCAATCAGCTCAGCGTCGTTCTGACGTCACTGCAACTCCTGTGCTAGAAGCAGACGACTTTCTCTCTGCGTTTCTATTTAAATTTTTCTTCAAACTACAACTTCTGCAGTGTGAAACAAACACGGAACGCTTGCAGCGCATAAAATACTAGCACGGCCGCGAATGACATCACGTGCAAGTTGTGTATAAAATCTTTGTGTTTCGATCACAAAGAAAACAAACAAACAGCCAACTCATTGAAAAGCTTGGGTCACAGGAACGTTTCTCAGGATGGTAAAATGCAATTGGCAAATAATCGAGTATACCCTCACTACCAAAAATTGCAAACAAATTGTTTTGAGGTAAACTGGCCACCCATTCGATACCTTGGTCGTGTGTGAGCGTGCAAGAGCAGGGTGCTTTTGAGATGCTACGCGGTCTATTTGTGGAAACTGAATTAATCGGAAGGATTTGAGTTTGCGCGCTATGCATGCTAAAACAAATCTGCTTCTATGTGCTTCTTTTCATATCACACCCTCCTATTTCCTTCTGCTTGAGCTTCCATGCACAGAAATGCACTCGCACTACTTCACCTGGTATGTAAAAGCAAAACTTGAGACACAAGTTATTTTCAAAGCAAGTGCAGTTTTGTTTGCAAAGCTAGTGCAGTTTCATTTGCAAAGCTAGTGCAGTTTCATTTGCAAAGCTAGTGCAGTTTTGTTTGCAAAGCTAGTGCTGTTCAGTTTGCAAAGCTAGTGCAGTTCTAGTACAAAACAGATGACAATAGATACCACAGAATTTTTGGATTGGGAGGTGTTCGATTAATTGTCTGGACCCAGATAGAAGACAGGGCTTTATCAAGGAACACACTGGGACTGGCAGTGTTGTTGGTGAATGGATGCCAGCGTTGACATCTGGTCGCATGTAGGGTCCCTTGTTTTCGGGGTTTATTTTTATTCCCCATGGTCTTTGTTTTTCGGTACCAATTTTTAGTGTCAGCCGAAAAAATCTTTGCTTATCGGGGCTCATATTGAGTAAACTAGGACACTGGCATGAGGTTCCCCAACCTTTAGTGAACACACGCATGACTTGAAACTTAAAGGGGTACCCTGGCCGTTTTTTTAGCTACCCAAACAGATTGCATTTTCTGAATGCCCGGACATTAGTCTTCACGGTACTCTATTTATTTTCTCGAAATTCGAACTAGCAATTCAGAAAACCGTAAATGAAGACGGATCTCTGTCAAAAGCAGTCGGAGGAGGGTAGCAGCTTGGCCCACTTCGGCCTTTGTGTTGAGCAGGTGCTGGTCACGTGCGCGGTGCATGCTGCATCGTTCACGTAGGCTGGAGTGGCTACAACAGAGCCCCTCCTCGGGCGACGGGCCCACCCGAACGTTAACGCAGTGTTCGGCTATGGCAGCTGAGTGCTGCGTCATCGTCTCTATGGGTGTATTTCTAAAGTCAGACGCTTGAACTGCAGTGGGTTGAATCTCCTTCCCAATGGCCTGACAGGTCAGGGGAGTTCCTCCCATTGCGATTTTGGCAGAGCCTAGAGAGGAGGTCGCCTCCTCTCCAGTGTTTGCTTCGTTAAAGTGGAAAGAGGTGGGACGAGCTTCTCCTGTAACTCTTAACCTGTCACTAACTATAGTTATAAAAAAATAAAACAAAGCAAACTCGTGAAGCAGACCTCAGTATGTTGTTTTTATTTTAAATAATGCATTGGAAACGTCGCATTTTCTTCAACTAGGCGTGTCAAGTTGTTTTGCCGTGTTTTTATTTCTTGTAATTTTACGAATTATTTAAAGCTAGCATGACACTTGAATTACAGTGGTGTTTTGTCTCATTCAGCAGTGCCTAATACCCTTTGTATATTTGGATTAGCACCAACCTTTTAATATCCTTTAACCCCAGTAACATTTCTTGACAAAGGTGAAGCCAGAAATAGCTATGCTTTGCTTTGGGCATAGTTTCCTTCAAGACTTTCAGACAAGGCCAGAGTTCAATGAAGTGAAGCACTCTGGGTAAGTACCAAGGATTGGGGACAAAAATGAACGAAGACAGTACGAGACAACTTTGAAAACATGTCTAGTCAGTCGTTTTTATTACTTTGTCATTTATTGTCGTAATTTGAGGTTTGTAAATGCCAGGAGGAAGGTACCACTTAGAATTTCTCAAAATGGCAGTTGACTTTTCTAAAAGAATGCAGTCTTAGCACAACATATACTGTCATACCAGGCCACTCTATGGCCTTGTTTTTAAAGCCCTTTAATTCTGGGAAATGACTGGTATGCTGTGTGTGCTCTGCAGTCTACAAAGTCAGTAAGAGCTAGTACCAGGTCTTGCCCCTCACATGTCTATGCAAGCAAAAAGCAATTTTTCTAAGGTGTGAACACATGCTCAAAGCTGCTGAGGGGGTGCAGAACAAACGTCCACGAATGAACCAGGCTAATCTACGGCATCAAAGAAAGTTCAAACGGCCTATTCAGAGTTGCACCTCTTGGAAAGGCAAGCAACTTGCATGACAGCCTTTCGTAAATACTGACAGTTTCCGTTTGTCTTGTGTTCTTGCAGATTTCGCCCCACGTAGTGACCGAGGCGGCAGAGGTGGTTTTGGAGGCCGTGGCCGTGGTGGAGGCTTCGGAGGGGGAGACAGGGGAGGTTTTGGGGGCAGGGGGCGCGGTGGAGGCCGGGGCGGCGGCGGCTTCAGGGGTCGCGGCGGCTTCGGAGGGGACAGAGGAGACGGAGACGGCGGGGGCAGAGGTGAGTGTCGCTGCTTCCTTTCTGACCTGGAATGTAGCCGGGCTCTGCCACACAAACAGCCGAGCTCATTGATTAGTATACTCTTTCTGAACAATACTTGGGTCAGGTAGTGCACTCGGTAGTTTTTGGTTGACCAACAGCTGTAGGTTACTAACTATTCCACCTAACTGGCAGCATGGGCATTTCCAGACAATTGTCTCTGCTTTTGTAGCAAGATAAGGTCAGAAGGCAATTCCATATTGCTTTCCTCCGATTACTAGCAGGTGTGTGAGACTATCTGCAAAAGAGTCGTCGTAATTTGTGTGTGCAAAATCTCTGGCATGTTGTCACGATGCAAATAGTGGGGTGTTCACAATTTGCCAAAGCCTATTAGTTGTGTTGCTCTGTTACCACAAAATCATTAAACTGGTGTCTTCTTGTTCAGCCTAGAAGCCAGGCTGGGTTGTTTCCCCACAGTCTTACTTGCCCTTGATTTCTTTCTCTTGGGAGGCAATCTGTTGTGTAATATTTCTACTGCTACAGCAGCTTTTGCCACACACAAGGGAAAAAGATAAGCGAAATGGGGCAGGTTGCTGGGACAATGTTTGTCGCTACTTTGGTTGAACAAACTTGCACTGTTCCTTTGGTTATTGTGTCAAATTCTTTTCTCACTCTACACCCCTTGTCTTTTCTTATGAATTCTGTTGCAGCTGCCATTTTTGCTTGAAGGGAAACTATAGCAGTTCTGTACTTGAGGAAAAATGCTTAAATTGTCTTCATCTGGCCTCCAGGAGGAAGAATATCAAACTTAAAAAACAGAGTTTAAGCCCCTCCTTCTTGGCTCGTTCGGTGATAGGAGACAATTGCGACATAATATACAGAGATCTCAACATTTCCGCAAGCCTTAGTCGACTAGTCAAAAACACTTCACACATTCTTTCACAAGCAGCACGTGCAAGGCAGTTGAAACCTCCGAGTATGACGTCACATCCAGCTGTTGGTTCTCCGTTTTTTTTTTTCACATCACTTGATATGTTCGGGTCAAATGCTTGGGACGTTCGAATTCGCAAGACAAAAATACGCTTTTCATGAACCTCTCCAGCGTCCCTTTAAAGTCCCATCACGTTTTGACTCATACGGTTCAGTTTTGCAACAAATGCAATTATACAAAAGCTTTGAAGTTTTGCTCGCATTTTATTGCTGCTTTCAACAGCCTCTTAGGCACAAAGAGAGGCCAGCTCACGCAACTACTTCTGGTTGGGCTTACAAACATATGTCTCAAACCTTGTCTGCGTGCAGATTCGTCATTCATGTGAGTTTTAATTGAACCATGCTTCAACGCCATGCCGTCGATCCGTCAGGACGGCCCTTGCATAGATGGAGATATTCTGGAAGGGTGTAGCCACTGGACGCTTTGCGAAGCAGTCGCACTTGCTTCTGCCTGATTATACAAGCAGTCGGTGTGTGCTGATACTCAGTCTCAGTAAATGGAACAGTACTATGTTTCCTGGGCATTAAATACTGCGTCTGGGTTTAACCCATTTGAAACACCCAATCCGACGAGGGCCGTCTAGGCTATCCTTTCACTCGGGGTCTGCGTTTTCGGAACTCCCTTCTGTTAACCTGCGAAGAAGGAATGTTGACGCTTCCCCTCATGACAGCTCAAGGCCATTCGTCCTTCCCTTACGCCGTAGGTTCTCAAAGTGGGTTCCCAAGAACCCGGGGGTACCCCACTGTGCTCCCTAGGGTTACCCAAGCTCCCGAATTTCCCCAACCGTCCCTAAGTGACGTGTTCTTCCGGTTTCATCACAGTTTGAGCAGTTCTGAGCCGTTCAATTTTGTGCCATACACTCCCTAGCGTGCACATTACTGTTAGCAAACTCTCAAGGCCCCTGCACTACTGTACTGTGTCAGTGCCAAGACTGGGGGGGGTTCTCTGGTTCCTCGAGATGTGAGCGTTTCAGAACCCCCGACTTACGCATTGACCGCGAGCGTGCACTTTCTCTGACCTAGAGAGCTGACATACCTGACCTTCACCTTCTCCCTGCAGGCGGCTTTGGCCGTGGCCGGGGTGGCTTCGGGCGAGGCGGAGATCGAGGGGGCCGTGGCGGCTTTGGCGGCAGGGGAGGTGGCGGCTTCAGAGGAGGCCGTGGGGGAGACAGGGGAGGGAGGGGCGGCAGGGGAGGAGGAGGAAGAGGGGGCAGAGGTGAGCACTTCTCCCTTCTCACACTTCTTTGCTGTGTGGCCAGCGTCTGTTCGCCCCTAAGTTGCTTGGGGCAAGCGATCCGATATGGTACCGAACAATTCCGACCATATTACATTAGGGCTTGTTTTTAGAGCTTCGACAAAACAGTTTTATTCGACTGATTTACTCAAAATCTGAACTTGCTCTAAGGGGCGACCAGAGGGCACTTACATTGTTGATATAAATTCCTAGCAGGGTGGAAAAAAATAATTGTGAAAAGATAAAATAAATTAGATTTATTTGATTTAAGGGGCACACCCCCTTGGAGGGTCAACTTTTGATCCCTTGGCTTAACATTAATAAATTTACAGGGTAGGCTGGTGGTCATGCTAGAGGGTGCATAACAAAATTTCAGTCTGTCGGTTAAGTGGAAAAGAAATTAGGGCAACTTCTATCAGCAACACACCTACATTGTTTAGTTAATCTAGTGTTGGAAAACTATCACAATATTCAAGATTTTTATTTGCTAGATATCTAGCAGAATGCCTAGGAGGTGTGGCTATGGAAACTTTTAGTGAAAAGTCGTTTATTTTACCAGTTTTCTCATCTGCGAAATTGGTCAACTTTTTGGTCTTCTGTGTCAACAAAATGTCAGCATTTTTATAAAAGACATCCGTAAAATGACAAAAACATTCCATAGCAGCATTCCTTATTAGATTTCAGTCAGAAAAAGTGAAGAAAGAGCCTTCCCTGTATAGCCATTATCAAACGATAGATTGACTAAATTGGAATTTATACTAAAAAATGGAACGTGGAAAAATGTGTTCAAGTGTTCCAAACCCTACCTTTTCTTTAGCTTCGGTGGACAGAAAATAATTTATAAAAAATTAATTATGCAGTGTAAACTAGTGAAAATGTCTGGGAATACTTTCTAGTATTCCCAGACATTTTCTGCTGTCAATGCTGTAAACAACAAAATTTTCGCGAATTCCCTACAATTCACGAAAAATGCGTCCCGCGAACAATTCAGGCAGTATGTGAATGCTACGAAGGCTACACTCGATTCACGAAAATTAGGACCCAAGAAATAATTTTAAATTTTCAGCTTTGGCTCGATTCGCGAAAATTTGAGCCCGCAGAAATTAAGTCGTTTACAGTATGTAATTTTTCAAAATCTGTGTTTTTTTGCAGAATCTTTTTTTCTGGGTAGTGTCTCCCCTTAGATCAGATTAATTTATTTTAAATCACTGTGGCCACAAAAAAAAAGTAATTCTTTGTAACAATTGCACATATAATTTTTTTTTAATAAAGGGCAAACTATCTAAACAAATGTTTTTGGGAATTATTTGTGTTTAAAAGGTTTGATTTAAATCGTCACAGTAAAACAGGTGTGATTTAAATCATGATTTAAATTTTCTTGATTTTTATTCTCCACCCTGGTTCCAGGTATTATGGTAAGGTTATAACTGTTTGTCAATTATTTTGTGAGGAGCAGAACAGCTCACGACTTATGTTAGTTTTAGAAAACAGGTAACTTTAGTGGCTTTTTTGTACTACTAGTAATTGGCTGAAGTTAGGGTCAGTCAAAAGTCTTTCTTTGCAAGGTCTGCACTTGTGATAATGTCAGGTGCTTGATATTGTTGGAGTATGTTTGGAGAGTGCAGAGAGCAGCAATGAAAGAGCTCCTGCATGGTAATATTTTGCTGCAAAGTGAATCATGATTTGTGTTGTCCTTTTCATCATCTCTCTTCAAGTTTAACATAAATCTAGTGACATCAAAATCCAAATTGAAGCAATGTTATTTGGTCTGTGCTAAACTTAGCTTAGTCAAAATTATGCGCTACAGCTCATCTTTGAACTCCAACACTGTATGCATGTCTTGTGTGCACAAGGTGCTTATATTACTAGAAACCAAAGGTTGCATTGTTGCTTGCGACCATGTGTGCACATATATCTTATACTCTTTCTGAATACAAGATATGCATATTTCAACGATTATGGTGTCTGTTATTGAAGTATCCGACCAACAGTTTATAACAGGCAAGGAAAGTGATGGTGCATTCAGTATGCCTGTATGCAGAGCTTGCACATTGTTTTACGCGGATGTGCTCGCATCCCTTTGAAGTTGCAGAGTTTTACTAGATTATAAATATGCTTTTAATAATTTAATATCCTTTAATAATTTTGGGGTTTGAAAAGGAATGGGATGGAACACGAACAAACTTTCCTGGCCTAATTTATAAAAGAAAACTTTGGCACCTCTGTACCTCCAGATGTGGCAAAAGTTTGCACAACTCGGCTTTCTGTTAACAAACTTTTGACTATCTCTCTTTTTTTCTCGGTCAGGCAGATAGTTTAAAATACGAAGTATGTGAAACTCAACAATGAAGACCGAAAGGGGTGTGCTTGCAGATTGCTTAGATATTTCTATATATTCATCTACACTTCTTGGTAGAAAAGGGGATATTCCTTTGGATCTCAAAATGTGTTCTTATGCCATTTGTGTATTTATTCTCCTTGTAGGAGGCTTCAGGGGAGGCAAGAAAGTTTTCATTGAGCCACACAGGCACGAAGGTGAGACTCGTTTCTGTGCATGTGTGCATACATGTGGCCTTGAGTGAGTATTGAATGTGAAGCATAGTGGCATGTTTTGGTAATGCTCATTCTTCCTCTTTCTCGCAGGTGTGTTCATTGCACGTGGCAAGGAGGACGCACTGGTCACAAAGAACCTTGTAGTGGGAGAGTCCGTGTACGGAGAAAAGAGGGTCTCTGTAGAGGTAACACCGTTTTCCTGATCATTAGAATTGGTGCGGTTGAGAGGGCAGGCTGAATTGAAGCTTTGGGTATTAATGAGACTGTTGGTTTCTTAAATTTTATGGGGTCTGCAAATTTGGAAATTTAAGGGCTGCTAAGAGTCAACATCCCAGTGACCTTTAATGCAAGTGTATGCTTTGTTCTCCCTGATGGGGTCTTTCATGTATGACAGTGATTCTCAAATGGGTGTTTACAAAGGCGATTTTAAGGTCTGGTTGTTAGTTTGGCCAGTAAATTAAAAATCTTGTTTTGTCATACAAAGGGTTCACGCTTTTGGTTCAAGTTTTCTTCTATATACAACAATTTCACGCTAGCTATTAGTTGCTCTCGTCCGTCCTGTCATCGTCATGATCACCCGTGCCCCCCTCCCCTCGCTGCTACGTCACTCCTTGGTGAAAACAATGGGAACAGAAATGAGGGTGAAGGGTGTGAAGGGGCAGGACGAAGTGCTTGGTCCCCTCTCCCCTTCTCTTTCTTTGCCGTTATCGCTACTTGCCAACTTGCCCAACTTCATGTCTTATCACTTCTGTCAGTTGGCAAGGGTTCCCCGAAGCGTGGACAGTTAAGCGCCACTGACGCACAATATCTGAACCGGTGTCTTCCACAACCATTTGTGATGCTTCGTACGACTCCCATGGCATCGCCAGTAATTTTCCTGTGTCGGTAAGCAGGGTTGATCTAGAGCCCTTGGACGTTACTTCTGCTTCAGGAAGGAGAGACCAAGCTGGAGTACAGGGTCTGGAACCCCTTCCGGTCCAAGCTTGCGGCAGCCATCCTGGGCGGTGTGGACAAGATCCACATGCCCCCCGGCTCCAAGGTCCTCTACTTAGGAGCAGCGTCGGGCACGACAGTCTCGCATGTCGCCGACATCGTCGGCCCTGTGAGTCACCCGCTTGGGGTCCCCAACTCTCGACTAGAGCCGGAGAATAGGCCGCATTTTGTTAAGAGACTGGCTTTGTTTTTTCAAAGAGCATCAGTCTGCAGATAAGAGAGGGAATCCGCCATTACCGAGTAGGCCATACGTGCAAGCTGGTGCAGTTGCATTGCTAATGATACGAGAGGATGTTGTTCGTCACGAGCTGGAGAAAGGACGTACTGTGACCTGCTCTGTGCCACGTTACTGCTGTGAAAGAAAGAAAGACGTGCAAATGCGTCTCTCTGTCATCCCTTCAAGAGCCTCAAGGCCTGTGGTGGGAAGGGTCGATGCGCAAAGATGCTTTAATGTCGTTCCTCGGTGTCCTTACTCTCAAATATTGGCACGACGCGGAACGATTTACTGCCCTAATGTTTCTCCATACTTGCAGTCAACTTTCTGCGGAATTTTGGAAGTGAAGAGTACACGTGCTGCCTTCGACGGGCGCTCGAGATGCGTATGCACATGTGTGCCACAGAAAGTTGTCCATGAGTATAGCTTGCACCGTGTCCAAAATGTTCTGCCCTGTCGTGCAGTATTCCTAGCACCTCTTTTGAAGGGTTATGATGCTTTGCTAGTTCCTTGTCTCTTTGGAGTTGGTACATTTTGTAAAGTTTGTGCTGTTTTCTGGAACACTAATTCTCGCTCGGTGCCATCTATGGAAGTATTTCCGCAAATGGCCGTTACCGTTTTGTCCTCGGTTGCTTTGCTCTCTTGGCATTGATTATCTTTGTTTTCCCCTCCAGGAGGGCCTGGTGTACGCGGTGGAGTTCTCTCACAGGTCAGGCCGCGACCTGATTGGTGTGGCTCAGAAGAGAACCAACGTCATCCCCATCATTGAAGATGCTCGTCACCCACACAAGTACAGGATGCTCGTAGGTGTGTATTGGTACCCCAGAATATGAGGGGTTTTGGAAACTTCTTGGCCGAAAGTCCCGAAGAACCCTCTAACCTTCTGTGCACATGCTTCGACGCTGGCATAAATGTGCAAAATGCAGATGTGCTGGCACAAACACGTGTGACCCATAAATCATATGTGCTTTAAATGCTAGCGAAGAAATTTGATGCTCAATAGATTTGTGACATATATTAATGAATAGTTCCGAGCAAACGTCCTATTTCTAAGATGATGCCTTACCCAGCCTCTTGCATTGCCTCTGAAAGACAGTATCTTGTGTGTGCTCTGAATGAAATATGCAAGTTCCTTTCTTGCATGGAAGTTTTTTCTATATTATGTTGTCGTCCCTAAAGAATACACTGCAGGGGCCCTAATCTACACGGTGGGACGAGGCAGGACCAACAGGTGGCTATGTCCTGGTCCTGCTCGTCCCACCATATAAATTAGTGCTCCAGGACACAGTTTGCGTGATCCCAACACAAGTTGTTTTTAACATTTTACCCTTGCATGTTACTGCAAATTTTGCTGGCTAGGTTGGTCTCTCGCATAAGCAGGTTTCTCTCTCTACGCTGTGCTTGCGGGACAACTCTCTGTTGCATTTTGGAAGTGAAGAGTGAACATGCATAGCTTTGATTGGCTATCAATGTGTATGGGTGCCTGTAGCTTTGACTTTGTTGCCTCTAAAAGTCATCCCCAGTCATAGCAACCTTGATTGGCCTCTCAGTGGTGAAAAAAAGAAAAAAGAACTAGCTGTGTCTTGTTTGCTTTAAAGGACACATGCAAAGGAAAAAAACATTTTTTTTAAACGGCTTAGATGGAAAAAGGACGCCATAAAACGATTTTACAACGAAGAAAAAAAATTTTTAGAGCTATATTTACGGCGCAAAACGAATTTGTAGTTGGCGCCCGCGGGCACCGCGGAAAAGTGGTCTGTATTTATCACGTGACTGGTCTTTATTTATCACGTGACTGGTCTTTATTTATCACGTGGTGCTTGCGCTCTTTCGGAAGCTTCCTATGGCCTCTAAAAGTAACTTATTCATCTTTGTTTGAAGTATAACAAAAAACCAAGACGAATAAGTAACTTTTAGAGCCCAAAGGAAACTCCTGAAAAAGGTGAAAAAGCGCAAGCAGACGTGATAGACCTGTGCGCCGGTCAGACGACGGCGGCGGCGCCCCGAAGCAGACGAACTTGTGCGGCGGCGGCGACGGCGGCGTGGAGAAACGCGTTGAAGCGGCGTTCGCACAACGCTCAGCGTGCGGCGGCGACGCAGCGCGGCGGCGCGCGGGCCTACCACGTGACCAGCGGCGGCTCCCGCGAGCGCCAACTACAAATTCGTATAGCGCCGTAAATATAGCTCTAAAAATTTTGTTTCTTCGTTGTAAAATTGTTTTATGACATCCTTTTTCCATCTAAGCTGTCTAAAAAATTTTTTTTTTCCTTAGCATGTGTCCTTTAAGGGAGGACAGTACCCAAAAAGATCAAAATTTAAACCTTTGGCTCAATATGACTTAAATTTACAGTACCGTATTTACTCGCAGAATGAACACACTTTTTTTTCCGAAAAATCGATGCAAAGTTAGGGGGGGCGTTCATTACGCGAAGTAAAATTTTTGCGTCGGTTATTTACTCGCATAATGAACGGACCTTTTATCCTAAAAAATCGAAGTAACTTCTTATCTTTCTGCGCGCGGCGCCCTACCCCATAACCGAACTAAACCGTGCAAAAAAAAAAAAATACTTTTTTTTTCTTAGTTTTTTGGGTTTTTTTTTTTTTTTGTTGCCGCCTTTGCAAGCTGTTTTGTTTGCTTAGGTGTTGCTTAGGCGAGGGCTCTCCGCTTATCTTTCTTATCTCCTTGCGCGCGGCGCGCGACGCACGACCCCCCCCCCCCCCCCCCCCCCCCCCGTAACCAAACTGGGCCATGCAAAGAAAAGAAGAAAAAAAAAGCTCCTTTTTCTTGTTTTTTTTCTCAGTTCCGTGGGTTGTTTTTCTTTTTGTTTCTTTTTGCCGCCTTTCGCAAGCTGTTTCGTTTGCTTAGAGGGCTTCTCCGCTCCTCTTTGTTACCTCCTTGCGCGCGGCGCACGACCCCCATAACCAAACTGCGTTGTGCAAAAAAAGAAAAAAAAAAAAGCTCGTTTATTTTTGTTTTTTTTTTTAGTTCCGTGGATTTCTTTTCTTTCTTTTTGCCGCCTTTCGCAAGCTGTTTCGTTCGCTTAGAGCGCTTCTCTTTCTTACCTCCTTGCGCGGGGCGGCGCGCGAACCCAAAGTCCAGACTGCGCTGTTCAAAAAAAAAGAAAGCTCATCTCGCATGTTTTTTTTTCTTGCTTCCGTTGGATCTTTGCGAATTTTTTTAACGTCTTTTGCAAGGCGTTTTGTTCGACCACGCTGCCCATGCATTCGCGAACTCGCTGACCTCGCTGCACCAGGATAGAAAAGTGCGTTCATTTCGCGCGCATGGGAGGAGGGGGTCAAAATTTTGACCTCCGAGTTGGGGGTGCGTTTATTACGCGAGTGAAAAAAAGTCGAAATTTCGACAGCCGACTTGGGAGGTGCGTTCATTACGCGAGTGCGTTCATTGTGGGAGTAAATACGGTATATATACTGGGAGTTTTGAGGCAGAATGCAATGCAGAGTTTCATCTGTGTACATAAATTGTGAAAGGAATTATGGCTGTTTGTATCAGGAACACACTCACTTTGTTTAGAGACTAATGTAATACACAATTTTTTTTTTCACTAGATATTCTGCAGAATGCCTGGAGACTGCAGATGTGACAATATTTAAAAAAAAAAAGTAATTTATATTATGTTTATTTAGTTTATACTTTATTATAGCTAATTTATATGTTGTTGACAAAATTCTAACATCTTTCTTGAAAGGCATCCACAAAGTAAAAAAAGCAGTGCCACAGTTCCATTGCCCATTAAATTCTAGTTAAGAAAAACAATGAGTGAGCCTTTCCTTTTGTCTCGTTGCAAACAGTAGTTTTCCTAATTTGAAATTTATGCCAAAAAGTGGAACAGAGAAAAACACGTTCAAAGCGCTCAGACCTTTACCTTTTCTTTAGCAACAATGGACTGAAAATAATTTATAAAAAATATGTAGTGTAAACGAGTGAAACTTTGTGGGAATACTCTCTAGATGTTGGATGTACCATGGCATTTTTCAATATCAACTTCTGTTTTTTTTTGTTTTTTTTTAATTTTCTGGGTAGTGTCCTTCTTTAACTGTTGCGCCTAGTAACTGTTGTTCCTGAGAGAGTTTTGTCTTAGCAGTGGGCGTGTCCATTTGCTTGCAGGTGTTCCATGTGTGTTGACATTCTCGAAACGTTTTAGGGGCGAAGCTCTTTAGGGTCTAGCCTTGTCCGGCGTCCATGCTCACATCGATTGCCATCCCATCTGTCTTCTTAAAAAGAAAAAAAATGTTTGCGCAGTCGACAGGATTCAAACCTGTGCAGGGAGACCCCAATGGATTTCTAGTCCATCGCTTTAACCACTCGGCCACGACTGCTGGACGAGTAGGGGGCTCTGAGATGTGGTAGTAACTCAAGAGCTGGGGTTTCTGTCATTGATGCAACGTTGCATGTAGCCGCTCAACGTCTTTACAGGAGAGGGCGCTGCGGTCCAATGCGTATATAATCTCATTAAACTTTGCATGCATTGGCTCAATGTTTATAGATGAGAGGGTGCTGCGGTCAAATGCTCAAATGCGTATATAACCACGTTCCATACCTCAGATTCCCTTTCTGACATGGATGAAAACGAACGAAAGGCTCGGCATGCTGCGGCTCAGCGTCTACGCAGACAAGCACCACCAGAGCTTCGCCCCAATCAACGTCATTCACCACCTGGAGATGCAGTCTTCTTTTTTTTTTTTTTTGAAGAGCTATTTAGGTGCTCATTGGTTGTTATCCGTACTTGCCTGTTAACAGTTCAGTCATTTTTGGATTTACAGTGTCTTCCTTTGATTGATTTTACCATCCTAAAACAAGCGAGCTCTAACACATTGTCTGGTTACTTTGGTTTTCAAACTGTGTCTTCACTTAATCTTCTATTTGCATGGGCTAATTGTGCTGCCCCACTTGTCTCTTTGGCTAGGCATGGTGGACACCGTATTTGCGGACGTCGCGCAGCCCGACCAAGCAAGAATCGTTGCAATCAACGCTCACCACTTCCTCAAGAATGGAGGCCACTTCGTCATTTCCATAAAGGTTTGTGAGGTCGTCACTGGTGGCAAAATGGCAGTGCTTACCTGCCGCATGTTCAAGTGCTGCAACGTTTGTTCTGGTAATACACGGCCTTTGACCTTTTAGAGCGCAGCTCTTAGGCGCCTGTTTCCGGCTTGAGCGACGTGGCCGTCTGCGTAACCGTGAGGTTACGTGAAAATCAGAATTTTCATTGCTCCGAAAAATGATTTTAAAAGACTTGTATCTCTTGTCCCTCGGCCAGCTTCGAACCGGAGCCCTTTCGTTCAGGAGTAGCAGGCAGGATCAGGAGGGAGGAGGAATATACCCTCCCCTCAGCACCCTTCCCTCCTCCTCCTCAAGAGCTGCACTCCAATTCGGCGTTACAAAAAGTTGTAAACAACTTTCTTTTTTTTTTTTTTTTTTTTTTTTTTTTTTTTTTTTTTTTTTTAGAGCACAGCTTTTAGGGGCTTGTTCCCGGCTTGAGCGGCGTCGGCGTAACCAAGGTCGCCCCAAGGTCACACACACACACACACACACACACCCCGCCGAGGTCACGTGACCTCCCCGACGACGTCATTGTCACTGATGACGTTACCGGCATCCGCATCGTCATCAGTGACGTCACTGATGACCTCAACGGCATCCGCATCGTCATCGTCATCAGTGACGTCACTGATGACATCATCGGCATCGTCACGTGACCCCCCCCAGGTCACTCCACCGCCCAGTACCCTTCCCTCCTGCTCCTCAAGAGCTGCGTTCTAATTCGGTGTTACAGGGAGTTGTAAACGGCTTTCACTTTTTTCCTTCTCTTCTAGCCTTTTGACCAGAATGATTTTCTTCGTGATATGTTAATCCTAGCAGTAGTAGTATAGTCTGGTGAGATCGTTCTTATAAAAAACAGATAAATTTGGTAGATTGTCATTCAATAAAAATCCTCTACATGCTTGCTAAGTCGTGGTGTGTCTGAAGCTTTCGTCTTCTGTTAATCCGATGTGCTCAGCACGGTTTCTGAACCGAAAACTTTGGAAAGCCTTTCGTTTTTACTTGTGAGGTGCTTTCGAAATTAGTCAAAGCATGGTGCCTGGAACGCGTCTCCGACGGTTGTGCTTAGTGTGCTATCCCACCCATGTATCGAAAGTGGCCCCGAATTATTAACGAATGCCGTCACAAAAGGCCGAATGTCACGCTGTTGGATGTCCTTATCCTGGTGGGTCGATGTAGAAGTTCTGACAAAAGGCACCAAAGAGGGTGAGTGTTGCCGTCGTCGTTGCGTCCCTGCTTCCGTTGACTGTTGGGCTGGAGAGCAACCTGCAGCAGAATCGGGTGTCCGTGACACCGCCAGACCGCGGCCGGCAACAGCATGACACTTTCGCAAAGTCATGGGGTGGAAGTGAGGGACCACTTTTTAGGATGCGGTACATGCCGGTTGGAGACGCGTTCCAAACACCGTAGCCTGATTACGAATGCAAGCTGAATTCCACACTTTTCAAACATTGCCACTCCGAGCATCTTCACCTTTATTCAACTCTATTTATTTCACCCGAAGAGCCCCTAGCCTGGGACACTGTTTGAGGGAATGTACTCGGTTTGATTGAAGTTGTGCGTCGTGCGCAGGCGAACTGCATTGACTCGACGGCGGAGCCCGAGGCTGTGTTTGCTGGCGAGGTGGAGAAGCTGAAGCAGGAACGCCTCAAGCCTCAGGAACAGATCACCCTGGAGCCTTATGAGAGGGACCACGCCGTTGTCGTGGGGGTCTACAGGTGAGCAGCGCTGCCTTCGCGTCCGAGGTTTCCCCTACCGGTGTTTCTAGTTCTTTTCGCCTCTCTGGATCGGCAGCGCCAACGGCACCCTCAACAACCGAACGCGAGGCGTTTAAAAATAGGGTTCTGATGGGAACGTCTGCTCCATTTCCGTACTCTAGCATTGCTTAAAGTCTCGGGCTTTAGCCCTAGTTAAGGCCACGACGGTTCCCTCGCACAACGTTTGGCCTCTCTCCCTCAGAAGGTCCTCTGACCTGTTGGAAAACAGGTACGGATACCCAACGGGAGATTGGCTAACGCGGCCGCCTCAGTCTCAAGGGCGCCGAAAGGACCCTCGATGCGCACCCTGCCGATCGGCAGGCACACGCTACGCTCTTCGACCACCTGTTCAATCCACACGCACTCTCCTGTGAACTGGGTAGAGCCCATGTAAGAGGGGTGAATCACATCCATTGTGGATGTGATTCACCCCTCTTACACAAAGCACTTTGCGCTGCCTGCTGTTCACCCTCAGGTTGCGCAAATATGGCTCTAGTAACCGGAGGTTCTGTTTGCCATCATTTATGTAGGCGAAGACCACCTTGGGCTCTCTGTATCTGGCTGCGACATGACCGGGCTTTTGGCAGTTATAGCATGTTAGGGGCCGGCGAGCCTCGAACAACTTCTTTTTCTCGTGATCCTCCCTTCTATCGGCGCCGGCGCCAGCCTCGCCTTTCATCCGCTCTCGTTCCTTCCAGTTTTTGCCCTCCACCCTTTTTGGCCGCCCGTCACTCGAAAAGCGTCCCCCTGGCCACCTCCCGTCGTCCCTTCTGCCAGGCAGGAACGCTTTCTCGTCTAAGGCATGGCGAGTCGCAAACACTTCTGCCAGCTCCGTGGCTCTCCGAGCAGTCCTTGCGTCTGGCTTGTCCTGAACCCAAAAGCGGGTCTCCTCAGGAATGCGACGCAAAAACTGCTCTAGGAAAATTCACTCCACTACTTTATTTTTATTGTGGTCCCCGTGCGCGTCTATGCCTTTGAGCCATTCCACTAGATTTGCTCTCAAATTGTAGAAAAACTCCGGGCATGACTTGTTCGGCTTGTTCTCAGTACTACGAAAACGCTGCCGAAAGTTCTCAGCGGAAAGACAATACTTGCTAAGGAGGCTTGTTTTGATTTTTCCATAGTCCTCCTACTCGTCTTTCGTGAGCCTTGCGACCACGGCCACCGCCGAGCAAGGAAGAAGCGTTAAGAGGCACTGCGGCCAGGTTTGCCTAGCGAACCCGACCTTTTTGCAAGTGCGCTCGAAATTTACTGGGAACAAACCAACGTGCTCTCCAATCTTAAAAGGCTGCATTAAGTTCTTCATCTTAAATGGTTTGCCTTCTCCTGTGCTGGATGCCGGACTGCTTTCCTGATCGCCCCTTGACTTCACTAGCTCGAGTTCAAACCTCTTCATCTCGAGCTCCTGCTCTTGGCGTTTCAATTCCGCCGCAACTTGAGTCTGTAGCTCTGCTCCTGTTCTTGGCGTTTCAAATCCGCCTCTTGCGACGTGAGTCAGTCGCTCCGCTCCTGTTCCTCTAGGTCCCTTTTTTCTTTGTTTATTCTCTGCACTTCCTCCCAACACCCGGATAACTCGGCCCCATCTGCCCCAATCTCAAGAATTACCGTTAATGAGCGGCTTTCTTTTTACTCCCCTGATATTCACACCAAACTCCTCGCAGATATGTATCAATTCTGGCTTACGCAGCGAATTCCAAGCACTGGCTAAATCCCAAAACTACTTTTGTGACGTGCAACAACTGCTGCGTCACAGATAGCCACAAAACAAAACACCCGCTTTACACTATGAAGCCCCGAAGGTAAAGCCTGGTGAGTACTCAAAGGGAAAAGCCAGACACTTGCCCACAACTGCGATCAATGGTCTGCATGGAGTCAATCCCGTCGCTGCCAACCAGTTGTTGCGTTTGGGAGGCGACGATCTCGGGTACAGAACCAAGAGTCGGGGCTGTGGGCTCGCTGCTAGCATGGCCCCGAGGAATCAGGTCTGGAGTGGGGCTACTGAAGTATTACTTTTACGTACAGTGAATATAGAGGTAGCATGGTTGACTGGTTAATCGGCAGTCGGTGACTTCAGGCTCCCTGACCCCATGTTATAAGCCCTCAGAGGGTGAGAAGCCCTTTGAGAGAGAGGAGCCTTCCCCGGTGTTCAAGTGTTCACGAGGTGTCTGAAGTGCGGGGGCGGCTGATGTGATTTCCGGGTGTTCTTTCAGCGTGGAGCAGATGATGCAATACCTCCACATTTCTTCCCCGCTCCGGTGGTTGATGTGAGGAGTCAACTCCCGCTCAAACCCAACACCGGCAGACCCACACACACACAGGCATGCACACGCACACCGGTGTTTCTCCTTGCGAGGGCCGGCGATCCCAGATGGTCTCGTTGCCTCCGGAAGATGCTCTTTTTGAGTTTAGAGCCCCCAGCAAAGGCCGTCACAACAGCACATAGCTTCCACCACACTGTCAGCTTGAAAGTGGATGGAATATTGGAGTATGCTACCTTTTGGTGTTTTTACATTGACAGGAAGGTACCCCTAAAATCAGGGTTCACTATCTTGGGAGGGTGGGGTTGATCTTTGGATATTACGGTAGCTGTCTGAGATTTAATTTTTTGCTTGCCAAACCTCTTTAATCATATACTTATTTCAGCGTGTTCCACAAAGTGCCACGGCTGGTGGACATATGTTTGTGGATTTGTTTTTGCCTCTGAGGAAAGGATAAATATAAAAATAATTATTTTCGTGTGCACCAAAATTGTTTTGGTCGAAATTACAATGTAGTGCTTTGGGCTGCTTTGGCATTTATTTTGACGAGATACATGTCACGGGATTGGCACTCTGACTGTCTTGTGGTCCTGTTGTGTAAGCATGTGGACGAGAACAAGACCATTCCTTCTCAAGCCCAGACAAAGAGTGCCCTTTACTTTGTCGTCTTCTAGCAGCCTCCCACTCGTGGCGCGCAATAACACACGTAACTGACTTGCTGAACACCTCTCCCTTTTGGTCGGTTGGTGGATGGTATTACAAGTTCAATCTATTCACCGGCTTTACTATCCATCCACTTCTAGCGATAGTCGGACCTTGTTGCCCACTAGAAGGAGCTGCTGGTAGCTCTGGTAGAGGCTGTACCCTGTCACTGGTAGCCGTAACCAGGGTTGTGCGAATATTCGAAATTTCGAATAGTAGTTCCGAATAATGCACTACAGTTAAACCTCGATGTAACGAAGTCGGTAAAATTCGCAATTTACTTCGTTACATTGAAATTTCGCTAAACCGAAATTTGGCTTTAGCATGCAAAAAAAAAAAAAAAATTCCGAAACATTTTACGGGTATGAAAACTCACCGAAAATGACATTTATTTTGGGGCAAAGTAGTCCGCGAGTTTTGCTTGCGCAGTAGCAACAGTAGCAGCGGCGTCATCCGGCGTTCGAGCGCTTGCACGGCATCGTGCTGGTCGTGCGACGCCGTGCACCTCCTCAGTACGTCCATTGCGTCGAGCACTTCCCGAGTGCTCGTGATCTCAGCACTTTCTTCAGGATGGCGTCTAAAACGTTCGCTTTCTCATCCAAAAAAAGAACTTTACGTTTCCTTATGGCAGCAAGCACGTAAGTGAACTGCCCGGTTAAAAAATAAAGCTGTTTAGTTTAGGCGGTGCCAATGTTTCCAACCTACACAGCACTCTTGATGCTCTTGACCGCACTAGAGTGCCTTCATACACACGCGCGCTTTTGCTTGAGTGGTGACATCTCAGCCATTTTTCCGCCCAATGTTTTTTTTTTGTGCATTTTGAAGTGCGCGCAATCTGGTGTCACTCAGCTCGAGCGCGTAGCTTTGGCTCATGCATAGACGCCATTTTACCACCCAAGGCACGCAATGAGTGCGCGAGAGCGTCACGCGCTGGCACATTCAGGGCAACAATGGATGTCTTCACCCTGAGACAGACAGACATGTAGGCACCCTAGACCGCACAGTTTACTTGCCCCCTTGCGCCCACAGTGTGCTTGCGCCTTTGCTTTACATCACGGTCGCAAGACGATAATCGGTCTTCTCGGTCTTCTCCTAGATGGCACTGCCCGTGCGGTCGCGCCCTCACGTCGCTCCCCCGCTGAAGTTGGCTCCCGCGCTACCCGCGGTACAGTGGACTATGATGATCAGTGAATGTCAGTGGTGATGCTGTTATGCCGTGTAAACTTTTTGCTCGGCATTTTCTGGCCAGCCCCGCAGAATCCGCTTTGCCGCATGCCTCGCCGGCGCTACCGGCGCCGCATCCTCGGGCAGCCTATAAAGGAACGTTGGAAGGCCTGTCCCCGTGAAGTAACCTTTCAAAGCGCTCGCGTTTGCGCATAATTTTTTTTTTAACCACAATTTTTTTTTGCGAAGTTGTTTTTTAGAGTCTATTTATTTATTGCCTTCTATGGCAATGGCGCTTCGTTATATTGAAATAGCAGCAAAATGGACTTCGTTATATAGAGACTAAAAATACATGGGGTCTATGGGCAAAAAATTATGAAAAATAAAATACCTCGTTAAATCGAGGATTTCGTTACATTGAAGTTCGTTATATCGAGGTTCGACTGTATTCGATATTCGCTTCGAGAAGAACTGCACTATTCGCATTTTTCGAAGTGTTGATTGCGGCGGATTAGGCCTGCTGAGTGCGCTTCTTACCAAGAACCGGTGCGCTGCGGAGCAGCAATACCCGCGAAAGCGAGCTCCGTGGGTGTTGCTTCTCTGCATTACATTGGTGCTCGGTAAGAAGCGCACTCAACGGGGTAGCCCGCCGCAATAAACACTTGGAAAAGTAGGAATATCGTAATCGTGTGCTTGGAGGAAAAGCACACATTCAAAGCGGGATGGTGCACCCGTGCCAACTGTATTTGAAAATAAATGGAAACTTAGTGAATCTGTATATCTACATTGTAGTAAAAATTTCAAAATTAAACTGTTAAGCAAGAGTGCACTATGTTAGGCAGAGAGGCCCTTGCAAGCTGCGTTCACCATGCACGATTCATCCTTTTTTAACTTGAGATTAAATAATGAATATTTTATAGAGCAAGATTTGTAAATTCACTCAATTGGGTATAGTTGGCCATCTTTATAGGATTCATTTTATGTCAAATCCGTCGTTTACTTGCCATCCCAAGACACCAGACCTTCTGAGGTCACAGTTCATAAATATAGATAGATTAAACTTAGCTTATAAATGGACAAGTGGAACAACCTTCACTCACTTGGCTGGGTTTTCATCTGAGCATTATGCAGTGGTAGTAAAAGCAACTATAAAAGCGCCAAAAAAAAACAAGGACGAGGAAGTAGACAGACAAGAGCGCTCTGTCTGCTTCCTTGTCCTTGTTTTTTTTTTTTTGGCACTTTTTTAGATAATAATGGACCAACTGGTCCAAATCGCTATCTTAGGGGTAGTGAAAGGCGTGGAAAAACTATTCAATATTCGAATCGAAAATATTCAACCAAAACCACTAATCGCTTCGAATTCGCTTCAAACTCAAAATCCGCTATTCGCACAAGACTAGCCGTAACCCCAGAAAAGGCTGGAGTTGATGGTACCAGATGGAATCTGTTGAGCCTTACAATCCCACGGTCCTTTTTTGATCGGGTAGGGACGAGGTGGACCTGCTTGAGACTGCACCGTTCCACTTGCCCTTAGGTCAATTATCCAGACGCGTTGTCCACTTTGCAGAGGTTCCAACGGACGTGCTGCATGTCTCGTGTCGAAGTTATGTTTCTGTTTCTCCTTGATTTCTTCCTCCCACTTCCGTAGTTTTGGAGATTTGGAAGTAACAGGTTTTAACAAAGAAGGAACAATTGGGACAGATGTGCGAATTCTTCGGCCCATTAGAAGTTCAGCTGGGCTAAACCTTTTTTGCAAGGAGGGTCACACAGTACGATTTTAATGCACCGTATGCACCATCCATCTTCCAGCTCCTCTTGATGATATTTACTCCAGCTTCCACAAAACTGTTGCTCTGTGGAAGCATTGGACTGGAAGTTTTGTGAACAAAACCCCATTCTTTGGAGAACTTGGAGAACTCGGATCCAAGGAATCTCGAACTGTGGTCCGTTGTCGCTGCATACGGTCTCTGGCGTCCTATGTGGTCGACGACAGAAACAGCTGACAAGCTGGCCAAGGGGGCAACTTCGGGGTATCTGGAGTAATAATTCGTCACTAGCAAGTACCACTTTTTTTCAAGTAGAAAAGGTCTTTGGCTACTTGCTGCCAAGGCCATTCAGGAAACGGAGTTGGTGTCAAAGACTCTCGGCGGTTGATTGTTTTCTGAATGCTCTGTGTGCACCCTTTTACCAGTTCTTCTATCTGCTTAGACAAGCCTGGCCACCACACAGATTCACGGGCATGTGCTCTGCATTTAGCGATGCTTTGGTGATCCTGTAGAATGCTGTTCAAGACTTGGTCTTTCATTGCCTTAGGAATGATTATCCTTGACCCCCTCATTAGAAGGCAGTCTTCCACTGCTATGCCACTTCTGTGCTGCCGGTAGGCACTGCACTCCTGGTCTAACGCTTTCTTGGCTGGCCAGCCCTCTGTACGGAAGTGCATTAGAAATTGACATGTTGCATCAGTGTTACTGAAAGATTTGCAGTAAGACCTTGCACGTATGCTGATATCTCGTCCTCCATCTCCTTGTCTAGTGTATGTTCCAGGGGATTTCTGGAGAGGAAGTCAGCTGCCACCAGGTCTTTTCCGGGAATGTGTATGATGTCATAAGAAAACCTCATCATCCAGAATTTCATTTGCTGTTGTCTTGGTGTGATGTCTTCCAAGGTTTTGGACGAAAATATTTCGTCCAAACCCTCTTTCGATCTGGATTTGTGCAGACCGAGATAGGGTATGTGGTCTATCTCGATCTGGGGGATTTTCAACCTGATTATGAGGTCTCGAAACTTTTCGCACCCCCAGACCAACGCCTGTCCTTCCTTTTCGATCTGGGCGTATCGTTTTTTCGTTTCGCTGAGTGTTCTCAACACGTACACCGCTGGCCTGTAGATCCCAATCTCTTGCTTCTGGCGCAGTACTGTGCGGGCGCCAAAAGAAGAGGTGTCTGTCAACAATGTGGTTGATTTTCTTGGGTCAAACAGAACGAGTGGCGGGTCTGATGTCAGCTTTAGCTTTTCAGAAGCCGTCTGTTATTCGTGGTTCCAGGCCCATTGATGTTTGGAACTCAGTAATGCGACCAGCTGGTGTAACTCTTGGGCCGAACTCGGAAAAAAAATTTCCTAGGTGATTAACCATTCCAAGGAAGCTCTTCCGCTCTGTGATGCAAGTGTGGGAGCTTTCATCTTCACGGTGGCTTCTACCTTCTCTTGATCTGGACAAACCTCTTCTTGGTTGATGGCATGTACAAGAAACTTTACCTTAGTTTCTGTGACCCTACGTTCAGTTTCGTTCAAGGTAATTGCTGCCTGCCTGAGTCAAGAGAGGACGTCTCGCAGGTTTCTGTCGTGTTCTGCTTTTGTGGGTCCATAGACAAGGATGTCGTCCATGTTGCAGACTTGTCCTTTGATTTCGCTCAGAAGCTGGCTCATCTTCTGGAGGAACTTTGGAGCAGATGTAATACCGAAGGGAAGTTGCTTAAACTTAAAGTTTCCAAACAAATGATGTGATGAAGGGGTGGTCAGAATCTGAGACTTGAGCAGACTCAAACTGCCAGAATCCAAAATTTGCATTGATTTTTGAGAAGAACTTTGCATTCCCAAGTTGTCCCAGTTGTTTTACAAACTTTGTTCCGCTCTATGAAGTCAACGCAAATTCTGTAGCTTCCATTCAACTTTGTCACGACTACCATTGCTGAGCATTAGTGTGGGCTCGTCCACACTTTCGATCACGCCCAAGGTGACCATACTGTCGAGCTTACTAAATAGGTCCTGCCAAAATAAATGTATCAATCGCCCTAAACTTTAGAATTGTTATTTCCACGAGAAACAACTTTAATGACACCTATTCATTAGAATAAAATGTTCCATGCATATCATTCTTGACCTAGGTAATTACAAATGGTGGGATTTTAGAAATGTATGTATGCAATTGGACTATGTCCTTGTGGAAAGTTGCAGCGCACACTGCACGCGGTCAACGAGGTGGTTTATGATGCCCAGTAAATCAGTGGCATCACTAGTTAATCGCCTCTTCGATGCGTAGAATAGAGGGTTTTGAAAATGGTTGTGCAAATGGCTTGCCGGTTGACACCCCAGATGGCGCTAGTATACAAGGCAGACGCTTCATTATGAAATTATAGTTAGGCAGCTAAGGTTTCTTTCCTTGCCATCATTTATTGCTTTCTTATTCGTTCCGTTATGTGTTCGCTTTTTTTTAACATGCTTATACTGTTCTTTATTTTCAGACCACCCAAGAAGTCCGAAGGTTGAGGTCCGGGCACAGCGCAAGATTTGTTTTTATCTCATCACCTTCGTTTTTTTGTGTATACATCTATGACTTTGAAGGGCTCGGCTCATGTAACTTCTTGTAATAAAACAATTCTGGTCTAGGTTGTGCTTTCATTTTTTTTTTTTAATCTTTTTCGTTTGTTATGAAAACGTTCATTTCACGCGAAGTCGGAAGCTCCGGAAATGAGTTGTGTACTGCTCGCTTACACAAGCTTGTGAACTCGTGGTTTCGTATATAATATTGTGGAAGTGAATCCCTATAATAATGATTTATCTTGCGCTATGATTTCTATTAGTTATATATTGCTTGTAAATTTTAGATTTAAGTGAGGTCACGTACTCCGAGCAATCGAATACGGGTACGAAACTGCAGCACCGATGCCTCGGCCGAGTCAATTTTGGCGGGAGGAAACGCAACGGCCATGGATGAACGGAATTCAAATTGAAAGATTTTCCGCGCCATTTTAACGCGTAGCGGATTTTATTTTGTGTGTGTGCGTTGTGGATTATTTTTAATTGGATTACCGTCACTCTGCTACGGATTGAAACAACTTTGGATAACTCTTGGGGAGGTGAGTGGAATATTTTTTCCTCTGGCTGCGTGGCAACCTATGCAAGCTAACGCGCCATGTGGTTATGGCGTTGTCCTTTCATTGGGAACGCGCAATGTTTACGAATGTCTGAGCTCTCTCCTCAGGTTTCGGTATTCTCATCACATGCCATAATGTGGTACACGCTATATTAGTTACGTTAAGACTATACGATATTCTCTGTGTGTTCGCGCTAGCCAACCGAAGACCCGTGAACGCTACGAACACCATGCGTCCACCAACATGTGAATTCTTGTTGATGTTTCGTGTTCTGTACGACAAACGCTCGCAGGTAATTCTGTTGCCGGCTCTCTAACTCGCGGAGGCTAGCGCGGCGGGCAAATATTACAAAAAATTAGGGTCTAAAAGCCATCGGGCGTAATAGCAGAAGTCTTGATCTTGGGCAGCATGATTTGTTAAGCCTCGTAGACGCTGTTTACTTTGGGAAATGTGCGCGCTGTTCGCGTTATTTGCGCGCGGGGACCCACTTTTTCGATCAGGGTGGTCGCGAAAATGGCTCGGAGCGTTCCAGAGAAACACACTGCTGACCTTGCGCGTCCACGGGATTGGGGTGAACGGCACCCGAAGTTGATTGAGATTAGGACGTGCTACAGTAAGCTCGCAATTTTATTTATTGGGTGGTCTGTTACGCCCGATTCGCCTCACGCGTGGTAACTGCCGGAATGAGGCGAAGAAGAAAACTATGGCTCTTTTTCTCGCGCTCCAGCGCCTCGCGTATTCCGGTCGGTGAGGAATTTCGCGGCGGGTAGTAACAAGGCGCCCCACGCGATCAGCTGACGGCGCTTCGGAGATCTCTACATCCGGGTGACTCAGAACCGACATACGCAGACGGCGCTGCTGAAAATCCCAAACTTCGTTCTTCATTCGCGCCTCCGGCTAAGTTTAGACCGTTCGGGAACTATTAGTGCTCTAACCAACTGCGATTTGAAGCATTTATTTGCATTTTTGCTTTGGTTCAAGCAGCATATCCGACCGTCGCGTCGTGTTGGTTCGTTTCTCGCCCTCTCTCGTTCCTCTTCTCTCTCTCTATCTGTTCCTCTCTCCCGAGCCGACGCAGCCCGCCGACGTCGTCTGCCGCCGCCGAGGACGCCATATTTGCATGAAAAACACAATGGCGCCTGCTTGGCTCGGCGGAGAAGACGATGTTGTGGTCCGTTTTGATAGCGGGGGTGGACGCACTGTTGCTGGGTCGGGCGGAGCTCGGTTCCGTCACGTTTGTGCGTGTACCTCTGCCGCCCGTCGGCTGTTTCTTTTCCTCCTTCAATGGCCGCCTGGAACATTTTCTCTCTGTTTGGCTGTCTCGAGGGGAGGGAGGGAGGATTTGTTTTGACGGCTGGTGTGTGGTGGCGGCTGTCCCACTTCCGTTGTCCGACGCTTGGTCGGTTTGACCGCGCTGGCTGTTTCTGAGGGCGCCTCCCCCTCTCCGCCACCCGCGTCGGATGTCAACAAAGCGGCGTGGGTGTGCGGCATGTGCAGGCTGAGGTAATTTCGGGAAATGGACGAGGCTTCTGGGCGGGCCGTTGCTGCCTAAAACGTAACTCTAATAACAAAAAAAAAAAAAAAAAAAAAAAAAAAAAAAATGTATGTTCGAGGCAGGCAACGTGGATACTATTTGTTTCATTATCAGCCCGTTGCTCGTATTCATGCGGATTGGTGTGGAGCAGCTGTTGCAGATAAAAGCGTTCGAGATTGCCTGTAGCGGCCAGGACAGACTCAAACATCGTCCGCGTCTTTATCTAAACTTCCCGTGTAACAGCTGGTTAAAAAAATTGTATTGTGAAAAATGTATCAATATCAAATACGCTCGGAAAAAAAAAAAAAAAAAAAAAAAAACGTGTGGAGAACACGCATAGGGAGAATAGACTATTTTTTTTTTTTTTTTTTTAATTCCATGCATTCGCGCGTTGCATTGTGCGTAAGGTTCTGTGTTTTCGGCGTTTTTTTTTTTTTTTTTTTTTTGGGGGGGGGGGGGGGTTTAATGCTTTTTACAGATTCGGCGTTTTTGTGTAAATTGGTTAAAGTCATTACAAAAAAAAATTGTTCTAGCATTTTTATTTGTATTGGTAGGTAACACCTACATTATTATAATTTTAAAGGGATTGTCCGGTCGAAACCGAAAGTACTCAAGTTCTTGCGCTCGTTACGTCGAGGGAGCCTTCATGTAGACAAACGTCATTTTTATTGATATATGATCTCCCGTTATTAATTAAACCTTTCATGAGCCTCTGCACCGAACTGCACCCCGAATTTCGCCAGTGTCAATAGAGAGTTTTAGTAGATCGTTCCCATGACTCCGATAACGATATCCCGATACTTCGCCGCCGCCTCCCTTGTGCATGCATAGTATCGTTATCGGGGCTATCGGAGGTATCGGAACGATCTACTAAAACTCCCTAATGGCTGACATCCGTAGGTGCTCCGTGACGTCACCATAGAGTTATTATAGGCCGTGTTCCAAAATTTACTCGATCTTACTCCTGGGTAACAGTTTGGTACCTTAGCGTTCCAAAACTTACCCGCGTTCAGCGCTTTTCAGTTTGTGTTGTCACGTGACACGACCCGCCGGAGTAACTCTGATGATTATTAGTAAAATAGCGCAAAACAACAAGGAAGAAAGGGCGAGATAGACAGGAAGGGCGCTAAACTGACAACTGACATTTAATACAGTCTATAAAGGAGGAGAAGAAAGAAGCAAGAAGTTACTGATGCTGTTGCTTAAAAGAAAGAAACGTACACCCTCAAAGTTGTTATACAGAAAAATTTTAAAATAAAATGTATGAAAAAGGTGAGTTGCTGATGACATTTGTGAGTGAAAAAAAAACAAAAAAAACGCAAGAAATAAGAGAGAAAGAAAGAAGGAAGCAATAATTTTGAAACAAAGGAGAAAATTGCAGAGGTGCAAGATCGGTAATCGTAGATGATAAAAAAGATGAAGTTTGAGACCAAAAAGGAACCCGAGGTTGCAGGCTGAATACTTGTAGTCAAGTCATATGATTGAGGTAGTAAAGTTCCTTAGGAGATAAGGCGATCGATGGGGCACTGACGCACACCGCCCCGCGAGACACGATTGTTTGAGCTTCATACAACTCTCGTGTTCTTTTGGACCGAAAACGTCTTAGGATTTTGGTTTGGCTAAACAATGCTGAGCACATACAGTCCCTTGCGTGTATTGCAAGATGGCCGGCTGGTGACGATCTCAAGGCTAAGGCATGTTCTCGCAAGCGTTCATTGATGCATCGGCCTGTTTGTCCCACATATATTTTGCCGCAGGTTAAAGGTATTTCGTACACCACTCCTCGTTGGCAGTCGACGTATTGTTGCTGGTGTCTTACTTTGCACTCAGCTTGCTGTGGTTGGAGATGGTTAATTCTCGGACACAACCGCCTAAGTTTATCTGGTGCAGAGAGTGCCACTTGGACTTGATATTTTGAAGCAATCTTTTTTAAGTTGTGTGTAATCTGATGAATGTATGGCAGCACTGCTGGTCGTTGGTTCTTCTCTCGTGTGCGCACTCGTTGTCCACTGTTGGTGAGTAATGATTCGGCGACTTCAAACAAAATCGAACTCGGGAACCCAGATGACTTGAGGCGCTGCACTTGAGCTTGAAAACTCTCAGCCGCGGAATGTGTGCACGACTTTTTTAAGGCTGCACTCATTGTACTTTTGACAATTCCTCTCTTGATGATTTTGGAGTGAGCTGAGTCGTACTGAAGCAGGCCTTTTTTGGTTCTTGGCGAGTATTTCCAGCAAGTGTGCCTGTCTTTGAACATCAGATGAAGATCTAAAAATTGAAGGCTTAAATTCGTTGGAGTCTCATGGGTGAAATTGAGCCCTTGCCCTTCGCTCCAGAAAGTGGATTTGATGGTGTGGATTGTTTGAGCTTCATTTTCCATGGGTCTCATTGAAAGAAGCACTAGATAATCATCCACGTATCTGAAAATGCGTGAGACTTGCCCTTTGGTGAGTGCATTATCGATGGCCCGATCACATTTTGAAAGGAAGATGTCGCAGAGGACTGGTGCCACACAGGACCCGATACATATGCCTTTCCTTTGTAGGTAAGACGTACCTTCGTACGTTACCACGGTGGCGGTTAGGTAGAACCGTAAAAGTTCTAGGAAAGATTCTACCTGTATTCCACTTTCATTTTGAAACTTCGTAATCCCGTTGGCCTCAATACATTCGTTTACAGCTGTAAACAGCTTGTTGTGTGGGATTGAGTAAAAAAGTTCCTCCACATCAAGTGAAAATCCGTATCGTACCGTTGCATCATTCAGTTGTAGGTGATGTATGACCACTTCAGAGTTAGGGATCAGGAATGGATCATTTAGTTTGAGGTTAGACAGATGTTTCATTAGATAGCAAGTCTCACGCATTTTCAGATACGTGGATGATTATCTAGTGCTTCTTTCAATGAGACCCATGGAAAATGAAGCTCAAACAATCCACACCATCAAATCCACTTTCTGGAGCGAAGGGCAAGGGCTCAA